GCCCTGACTGACCCCCCGGGGCTGATGGGTGGGGCCAAAAAAGGTCGAATTGACAGAAATTTCAAAAATCTTCTCAAGACCCAGATATGGTAGAATCAAATACTCTTCATAGATGGAAGGGTCTTAAGGTGCTTTACCGAAATTGTGAATTTCTTGACCCTGGGGTCTCACGTTTCCCCCTGGGGAGGGGGTAAACTTTACTATAGTTTATATAGGGAAATCACATTTTGGACCAACATTTGTTTAATTTCCATTGGAAGTAATTCAATTTGGGTTAGCATTATCAGTATTAGGTAGCAGTTTGATAGTATGCACCTATGAGCCCTGACTGACCCCCAGGGGCTGATGGGTGGGGCCAAAAAGGGTTGAATTGACTGAAATTTCAAAAATCTTCTTCTCAAGACCCAGATATGGTAGAATCAAATACTCTTCATAGATGGAAGGGTCTTAAGGTGCTTTACCGAAATTGTGAATTTCTTGACCCTGGGGTCTCACGTTTCCCCCTGGGGAGGGGGTAAACTTTACTATAGTTTATATAGGGAAATCACATTTTGGACCAACATTTGTTTAATTTCCATTGGAAGTAATTCAATTTGGGTTAGCATTATCAGTATTAGGTAGCAGTTTGATAGTATGCACCTATGAGCCCTGACTGACCCCCAGGGGCTGATGGGTGGGGCCAAAAAGGGTTGAATTGACTGAAATTTCAAAAATCTTCTTCTCAAGACCCAGATATGGTAGAATCAAATACTCTTCATAGATGGAAGGGTCTTAAGGTGCTTTACCGAAATTGTGAATTTCTTGACCCTGGGGTCTCACGTTTCCCCCTGGGGAGGGGGTAAACTTTACTATAGTTTATATAGGGAAATCACATTTTGGACCAACATTTGTTTAATTTCCATTGGAAGTAATTCAATTTGGGTTAGCATTATCAGTATTAGGTAGCAGTTTGATAGTATGCACCTATGAGCCCTGACTGACCCCCAGGGGCTGATGGGTGGGGCCAAAAAGGGTTGAATTGACTGAAATTTCAAAAATCTTCTTCTCAAGACCCAGATATGGTAGAATCAAATACTCTTCATAGATGGAAGGGTCTTAAGGTGCTTTACCGAAATTGTGAATTTCTTGACCCTGGGGTCTCACGTTTCCCCCTGGGGAGGGGGTAAACTTTACTATAGTTTATATAGGGAAATCACATTTTGGACCAACATTTGTTTAATTTCCATTGGAAGTAATTCAATTTGGGTTAGCATTATCAGTATTAGGTAGCAGTTTGATAGTATGCACCTATGAGCCCTGACTGACCCCCAGGGGCTGATGGGTGGGGCCAAAAAGGGTTGAATTGACTGAAATTTCAAAAATCTTCTTCTCAAGACCCAGATATGGTAGAATCAAATACTCTTCATAGATGGAAGGGTCTTAAGGTGCTTTACCGAAATTGTGAATTTCTTGACCCTGGGGTCTCACGTTTCCCCCTGGGGAGGGGGTAAACTTTACTATAGTTTATATAGGGAAATCACATTTTGGACCAACATTTGTTTAATTTCCATTGGAAGTAATTCAATTTGGGTTAGCATTATCAGTATTAGGTAGCAGTTTGATAGTATGCACCTATGAGCCCTGACTGACCCCCAGGGGCTGATGGGTGGGGCCAAAAAGGGTTGAATTGACTGAAATTTCAAAAATCTTCTTCTCAAGACCCAGATATGGTAGAATCAAATACTCTTCATAGATGGAAGGGTCTTAAGGTGCTTTACCGAAATTGTGAATTTCTTGACCCTGGGGTCTCACGTTTCCCCCTGGGGAGGGGGTAAACTTTACTATAGTTTATATAGGGAAATCACATTTTGGACCAACATTTGTTTAATTTCCATTGGAAGTAATTCAATTTGGGTTAGCATTATCAGTATTAGGTAGCAGTTTGATAGTATGCACCTATGAGCCCTGACTGACCCCCAGGGGCTGATGGGTGGGGCCAAAAAGGGTTGAATTGACTGAAATTTCAAAAATCTTCTTCTCAAGACCCAGATATGGTAGAATCAAATACTCTTCATAGATGGAAGGGTCTTAAGGTGCTTTACCGAAATTGTGAATTTCTTGACCCTGGGGTCTCACGTTTCCCCCTGGGGAGGGGGTAAACTTTACTATAGTTTATATAGGGAAATCACATTTTGGACCAACATTTGTTTAATTTCCATTGGAAGTAATTCAATTTGGGTTAGCATTATCAGTATTAGGTAGCAGTTTGATAGTATGCACCTATGAGCCCTGACTGACCCCCAGGGGCTGATGGGTGGGGCCAAAAAGGGTTGAATTGACTGAAATTTCAAAAATCTTCTTCTCAAGACCCAGATATGGTAGAATCAAATACTCTTCATAGATGGAAGGGTCTTAAGGTGCTTTACCGAAATTGTGAATTTCTTGACCCTGGGGTCTCACGTTTCCCCCTGGGGAGGGGGTAAACTTTACTATAGTTTATATAGGGAAATCACATTTTGGACCAACATTTGTTTAATTTCCATTGGAAGTAATTCAATTTGGGTTAGCATTATCAGTATTAGGTAGCAGTTTGATAGTATGCACCTATGAGCCCTGACTGACCCCCAGGGGCTGATGGGTGGGGCCAAAAAGGGTTGAATTGACTGAAATTTCAAAAATCTTCTTCTCAAGACCCAGATATGGTAGAATCAAATACTCTTCATAGATAGAAGGGTCTTAAGGTGCTTTACCAAAATTGTGAATTTCATGACCCTTGGATCTCACGTTTCCCCCCAGGGAGGGGGTAAACTTTACTATAGTTTATATAGGGAAATCACATTTTGGACTAACATTTGTTTAATTTCCATTGGAGGTAATTCAAATTAGGTTAGCATTATCAGTATATGGTAGCAGTTGGATGGTATGCACATATGAGCCCTGACTGACCCCCCGGGGCTGATGGGTGGGGCCAAAAAAGGTCGAATTGACAGAAATTTCAAAAATCTTCTCAAGACCCAGATATGGTAGAATCAAACACTCTTCATTGATGGAAGGGTCTTAAGGTGCTCTACCACAATTGTGAATTTTATGACCTTGGAGTATCACGTTTCCCCCTGGGGTGGGGGTAAACTTAACTATAGTTTATATAGGGAAATCACATTTTTGATCCACATTTGTTTAATTTCCATTGGAAGTAATTCAATTTAGGTTAGCTTTATCAGTATTGGGTAGCAGGTTGATGGTATGCACATATGAGTCCNGGGGGGGGCAAAATTTATTATGGTTTATAATGGCAAATGATACTTTGAATATCACATGTTAATAACTTGATTGGAATTATAACCCTGAGTTGACAGTTTGATACTTTGAAAATTTTGACACAGCCCTACCCCCAAGGGCTGTAGGGTGGGGCCCAAAGGAGTCAGTGTGCTAAAATTTCTTCATTTTTCTTGTTTAGAATCAGAGGTGCTAGTTTCAAATACTTTTTAGTCTTAAATCTGTATGCTAGATATTGAATAAGGTGATTTTATTGTTTTTTGTCACTTTGAATAATATTTCTGTTCGTGTTAAAAACAAAATCAACTCTCTGTATAAATATATCAGGTGACCTTTCAGGCCCATGGGCCTCTTGTTGATATAGTTTGCAGCAATGAAGGTCTTCAAAATGTGTTCAACTGAATAACCTTGGCTCGATATTCAAGTTCACAGGTTAAATGGTTGAAAAAACATCTTCTTCTTAAGATCCATACAGTGTAAAGTGATGATTTCATACTCCATAACTTGTTGGTATGAAAAGCTATCAACTTGGTTCAAATTGTTGATATAAGACTCTCCTGTGAAGGTCACCAAGTTTATAGGTGTTAAAATCTTATAAAAAATTCTTATGATGTATTACTTTTACCTTCTTTCAAGGTCTAAGGTTAAATTCTTCAAAGTTCTAAAGATATATGTGCATCAGGTTTAAGGTAATGGTATTTTGCCCTGTTATTTCATTATTTACATGTAAAAATATTGCTGTCATCATCTTCTTTCTAAATATATGTCTACATTCACCAGTGTATAAATTAGACTACAAGTGGATTTGTCCTACAGTAAACCCTACTGTATTGACTGAATACAGTATAAAACAATCATTTCAGTACAGTAAGCTGTATAAACTGCCAATGTTAATCAAGTATAATCAACAAAATAATCATTATAATAGAGCTTACAACCGTGCAGCCATACAAATTTGATATTTTGTTCATATCTCACATAAAAGTCAGCTGACCGTTTAGGTCCAAGGTTCCATTCTTTATCATCCTTGATATCCAGGGGTTACGCTCACCTACGCTCTCTCGTAGTCGAGGGTAACGCCTGGATATCAAGGATGCTTCTTTATGGGTCCGGTATGATCATATGGATTTACTGGGAAAAAACTGAAGTAAATCAAATGTAAGTCTGCTGCAAGTTTTGTATATTTAATGATATGATTGCCTATATAATGTTTAACGAATACTACTTACAAATCGCTGGTACAAAAATATTTTGCTTTTGCACTACAATATTATTCTAAGAAAGAATTTTTTATCTCTGTATCACATCTGTGATTTTCTGTTGTTGGTTTAAGATGATAAAAGTTGGATTGTGTTAAATTGTGTAGATATGGTGGCAGTAGATGTCCAGAGCGAGTTGAAGAAACAGTACACGGCTCTACAGGAACTTCTCAGGCATTTCTGGTCCTGCTTCCCGGCCTCTTCTAAGTTCTTAGAAGAAAAGGTACTAGTTTGGTGATTGATCAAAAAGGTCTTGCAGCATTTCCCCTTCAAGATAAAATATCTGAATAGTATGTTTAACATTTTTAAAGATTTTAAAATTGATGGTAAATTCATTTATTAAAACCTTTGCCTGCAATTTCCTGTTTAATTTATAAGATTTCAAAGGTTTATGCAAGGTTCTGTTGCTAAACAATTAAAAGGCAATAAGTCAAAGTCACCTTAAGAAAAAATCCTAAAAAGAACAAATGGTGTATGTATGGATTATACTAGGACGTTGAGAGTTGATTGATTGGCTAATGGTCAAAGGGAGGTAATTAAGATATATTGGAACAATTTGATCCAGAAAATATGGAATTGTTTGTTTCTCATATGTTTAAAATGTTTGCTGACTTAAAAGGAGTTATAATGAAAAAGTGATTGAGTGCTAGATTCACACTCTCTGACAAATACATATATATATATATATATGCATCATAAAGGGTATTGTACATCTATAACAGATATTTATCAGAAATTGAAAACTCAGTATTCAAACTATGAGAAATCTGTTCAAAGAAAATAGAAAACCTGACATTTATCACTTTTAAAGGACTTTCCTGCACAGATGATTTTCGGAATTTGTTTTGTGCAAATGATCCTTGTGTTTTCTTAAAAAAGGATTCCAGAAACACTGAGTCCAATATTAATGCTTACAATATAAAAGGTATATGCTTAAAATGTTAGTTAAAAAATAGTAATCTGTGGATGTTGTCATTATATGAAATAAAGAAAAATGTGAGGTACCATAAAAAATGGATATGTTAAACATCAATTAAATTGTCTACTTTGGATCTAGATATTATGATATCTAGGTCAACACTGCATACAGATATACCGGGAGTGTAGTACATTTACTATAATTAAATGTATTAAGCTGAAATTTAAATATATATTTATTTATTTTTTACTTTTTACTGACAACATGCATGTTTAACTTTTATGTTGGTTTGTGTACTGTACAAAAAGCTTTATCTGTTTATTTATATCTAGATTAAAAGGCATTGTATTTTTTCTGTTCCCAGGTTTGCAGAATGAAGTCAACTTTAGAAAGATTTCAAGTAACAAAACTCATTCCATTTAAGGAATCTCTCAAACAGCATCACTACACAATAGATGTGAGTATGACATGGGATGGAAAACACTTTACAGTTCACACAGCTCATAAAGAACGTTGTCTCAATATATATATATATATATCAAAAGCCTAACCAAAGTGTTGGATAAATCAATGTTATTCTATCAAACTGTTTTACTTTCGTTTTACATCCTGATAAAGTATGTGAAACATAAACCTAACAGATTATTGTTTTTTTTTCTGATAAAATGTTATAAAAAGTATAATGATGATTATTAATGATGTTAAGTGGAATTATAACTCCTAACCCTGCATATTTACCCAATAAACAAAGCCATAAAGTGATCGCACTGTATGGCATATTTACCCAATAAACAAAGCCCTAAAGTGATCGCACTGTATGGCATATTTACCCAATAAACAAAGTCCTAAAATGTTCGCACTGTGTGGCATATTTACCCAATAAACAAAGCCATAAAGTGATCGCACTGTATGGCATATTTACCCAATAAACAAAGCCATAAAGTGATAGCACTGTATGGCATATTTACCCAATAAACAAAGTCCTAAAATGTTCGCAATGTGTGGCATATTTACCCAATAAACAAAGCCATAAAATGATCGCACTGTGTGGCATATTTACGCAATAAACAAAGCCATAAAGTGATCGCACTGTGTGGCATATTTACCCAATAAACAAAGCCATAAAATGATCGCACTGTGTGGCATATTTACCCAATAAACAAAGCCATAAAATGATTGCACTGTGTGGCATATTTACCCAATAAACAAAGCCATAAAATGATCGCACTGTATGGCATATTTACCCAATAAACAAAGCCATAAAATGTTCGCACTGTTCGGCATATTTACTCCATAAACAAAGCCATAAAATGATCGCACTGTATGGCATATTTACCCAATAAACAAAGCCATTAAGTGATCGCACTGTACGGCATATTTACCCAATAAACAAAGCCATAAAATGATCGCACTGTATGGCATAGGGATTCATCATTCAAATTCAAAAAGCTAGATGTACTCCACTGACCAGCCTTGAGGAGAGTTGCAGGGATGCACTTATTATAGATCAAATATCGGTGATGGGGGTTGAAAAGAGTTGGCATTTGTTGTATGGGGGACCATAGAAAAGTATTGTGTGTGTTGGGGTGGAAAATGTATGTATTCTGGAAAACCCTTCAAGTTCATTGAAAGTCAACGCTGGAAGTTTGTAAACCTTGAAAAGCACATCAATATTGCTTCCACCTTTTATTTATTCACTGAAAAATCTTGTAACTTTGTCTTTCAGCTTGTGGGGCACCTGGAAGAGCTTCTGTCTACAGCCTATGCTAAATTTGATACTTGGCAAGCAAGGAAAATGGCTAAGAGGTCATGACCCCAAAGGCTGTTAGTTTTGACTTTGTTAATTTGAAGACATTGAATTTCAAACAGATTTTTTTTGTTTTGGTGACAAATAGTTTTGTGACATTTTCTCATGATTCTTTCAGATTTTGAAGATTTCATCTCTTTTGAAATTTTATGTCTATATAATAAAAATGCCATGCAGGGTATTTGCATTTTCTGCAAAATTAAAGTTTCTTGTAAAATAGCTGATAAACCTGGTTGACAGTAACCTGTTTGTAAAGCACTGGCCTGTTCATTGTTTAAATTCTTTGTCTTTAGCTCACCTGACACAGAGTGTTTGAGCTTATGCAGTGGTGCTGCATCCATTGTCAATCATCAACTTTTCCTCTTTAATCACTTCTTCAAAAGAACTACAAGGCCTATAGTCATTATTTGGCCTATAGCTTTCAGTCAGATTTGATGAAATAAATTACCTTGAATCGCTTCCAAGGTCATGGGTCAGATGTATGAATCATATCAACAGACTTATTTGAGTAATGATATTTGTCCTGTGGCTTGCTGGGATTGAGTCTATGTTTAAATAAGTAATCTTTACCGATGTTTTCAATCACAGGTGTCCAATATGTTAAAAACCTTACAGAACTATGAAGCCTCGAGTCATGATGTGTCCATAAGTTTGCTATTCCGTCTTTGCGTATTGCAGAGTTATCTTCTCTTGGGAACAGGTATTGATTGTTACGTCATTGGTCTGTGTGAGAAAATTACGTCGTTTTCTCAAAAATTGATGACGTTTCTCTCACAAACAAGTGACGTAACAATCAATACCTGCTCCCAAGAGAAGATAACTCTGCAATACGCAAAGACGGAATGGTCAAAGACTAATCAATTTGAAAACAAAAAACAAACAAAAATTCCGAGTGATTGGCCCCTTGTTTGTTGAATTATTATCTAATTATCTTAGAACATTTGGATATTTTGATACAAATTTTAGTCCTTTAAACAAGGAACCTTAGGATTTCAGCAATATTTGTGCTTGAAAACATTCAATGATCAATAAATTAAACTGACTTTAATTAATGTTAAGGCCCTGAATTTTATAAAATGTTCTGAGATACATATATAACTAGGAAATATTACAGGTTTTCAGGGCAACACTTAACATTCAATGGTATATTAAAAGCTGTTTCTGGATAGCTTCTAAATATACATTGTTTCATCATGTTCCACTATAGAATACTGCATTAACTGCAAGTTGTCTTCACAGCCCTATTATTGGTTAAACAATATAAATAATTCTCAATGTGGGACTGTTACATCTTCATACTTCTGTAAATATATTTTATCCATTATCAATGCAAAGATAGGCTAGCATTAAATTACACTTTGTTTGCATTCTCAGTTTTACTTTTATATTTAATCTTGATTTGAATATACAAAGTAAGTAAAAGATCACACCATTTTGTATAGGGTCATTTTAATGTCAACTTTGTTTTGTAAGAAATACTGTATATTGTTTTGGTGATAAAGGAAATATCCTGCTTAATTTTGCTGTTGACAAACGAAAATATTCATAAATTTTTCACCATACCTAATGTCTTAATATTTATTGATGATCATGGAAGACTGTTATGTGTTAAAAGTTTGATAAAAGAAGTTCAACCATTTCTAAAAGTTGATAGTTTGTATAGTCAGTATGTTTGAATTGAATGCAATTGAAAATGGAAGAGATTGTAATATACAAATGTTATTTTCCACACATATTATGTACATGTTAAGGTCACTGAGAATAAAAAGGAAAGAAAATATGTGTGTTTGTGTTTATATCATTGAAGTACAGTCAAACTTTGATGCTTCAAACTTTGTGGGACTATCGAGAAAATTTGAAACGTCGACACTAACAAATATTAAACATTGTCATCCTGTAAATAAGAACGAATAACTGATCCTTTAAATATGTGACAAAACAAAAACTGTGACATTTGATTTTAAATATAAATATTGGATTTCTTATCGAATTCAACATTTCTTTGTCAATAAAATTTCCGAAGTCCGTACTGTTAAAATAACCATGGGACATTTTAATATTCTAGTACAGGTTATTACACATCGATTTATAAGTTATAATTTTCAATGTTTTCATAAAGAATGGACATTGATTATACTACCAAACAGCGAGAAATTTGACTCATAAAAGTTTGATTCCTGAAAAGAATATTAGTACATTGTAGGGTTGTATAACGGAATAATTATTGACTTTGCCTCAAGTTTGATAGATCGAAAGGCTTGAATCTTTAAAGTTAGATTGATAGATGTTTGAATCTAAATTTCTAGTTCCCATTGATGATATTTGACATGCAGCATGCTGGGATGAGGCGCTATCTAGTTTGTTCAAATAAATGACCAGACCCATTTTCAAGATCATTGGTCAAAGATATTGAAATCTTAAAACAACCCCTAAACATTCAAATTAATAACATTGACCTTTACTTTAACCTTAACTAACAACTTCCAGCTATATCTAATAGTGGCCTCAATTCATGTTATTTGGTTTGCAGAAAGCTTGGATGTGGCGATACCAAGTTTGTTCAAATGAAAGACCTTGATTCACTTTCAAGACCACATGTATAAAAATTCAAACAGCTTATTCTGAATACCCAAAAGGCTTACAGTCATACTATATGGCCTGCAACATGCTTTAAAGGAAGAGTTATTAAGTATATTTAAGTGACCCACTTTCAACGTTTACACAACTGTGATGAATTGTCATGTTTTTGTTTCAAATAAATGACATGGACCCACTTTCAAGTGTAGGGAAGGGGCCTCGACAAATTTCCTAATTTTTGCCCAAAGCCATTTCAGTTTATGGCCATAAAATATTTTTAATCTAAACTAAACCCAATGATTTGTCTAATTATGTGTGCTTTACAAATAGCAATAAACTTCAGTTATAAACATGTTCAAAAGCAAAAATAAAAACAAGCAGAATGTTCAGACGTATAGCAGAGTCTGAAGAGCATCATTTGGAATCTAAACAATCTAGGTCACGAAACAAGAAATATTGCAGAAAGGAGTCTGATCTTGAGGGTGAAGATGTGCTTATCTAGAGATTGCAGATGTTGTGGGATGATAACATGCTTACTTGCTTAATCCTTTTGCCCCTTGGTGGAGCATAGGCCACTAACAATATTCCTCCACCTTGTTTTGTTATTTGCTAGCCTCTCCAGATCATGCCACTTGTACCCTTCTTTCTCCATCTCGGCTGCAACGTTTCTTCTCCAGGTGTATCTTGGTCTGCCCCTGCCACTCTTTCCTTGTGGGTTCCACTGTAAGGCTTGCCTTGTAATGCTGTTATTTGGCTTACTCAGTGTGTGCCCTATCCACCTCCACTTTCTATTTTTCAACTTTTCATCAACTGGCGATTGGTTAGTCTTTTCACACAGATCTTTGTATGATATCTTCTCAGCCCATCGGATGTTAAGGATGTGCCTGAGACAGTTGTTGATGAAGACTTGAAGTTTTTGAAGCAGGTTTTTTGTTGTTTTCCAAGTCTCAGCTCCATATAAGAGTATGGTTTTTACATTGGAATTGAACAAGCGTACTTTGGTCTTTAGAGTGATGTTTCTTGCTTTCCAAATCGTTCCAATCATATTAAATGCAGCTCTAGCTTTGCCAATTCTGGTTTTTACATCTCTATCTGAGCCACCAGGATTGTCCACTACGCTTCCAAGGTATATAAAGGAATCTACTTCTTCTAAAGCTTTGGTGTTAACCATCAGACTTGCTAGGGTCCTTGTGTTTGACTTTAAAACTGTGATAGATAGGCCTGTTTCTGCAGCTCTCCTTTCAACCTGCGCTAGTTTGTCCTGCATTTGTTGGTGGTTGTGGGACAGCAAGGCAATGTCATCGGCAAAGTCAAATGATAACATGCTGGTCTATTATTTCATTGAACATTTTGTTACAGAAAATATTTATTCACCAACACCAATCTTATAAATTGTTCTTGTTAGCTCACTTGCTCGAAGGGCAAGTGAGCTTATGTCATGGTGTGGTGACTGTCGTCATCCGTCAACCTTTCCTTTAAAAAACTTCTTCTGAAGACCGTACAAACCTAGAGTCATGATATTTGACTAAAACTTTTCGTTGGTAGGAGCCTGACAAAGTTTGAGAATGAAAATATTCTTGACCTACTTTTAAGGTGTATGGGATCAAATGTGTCAAAGACTTGAAATGACGTCTTCGAAAGAACTGAAAGGTATAGAACCTTCATATTTAGCTGGTTGCTTCCTGTGATAGCCCGACAAAGTGTAAACAAGAAAATGACCTTGACAAGGTCACATGGGTCAAATATGTCAGACAATTAAACGACTTCTTCTGAATAATCTTAGAGCATATACTGTGATTGGCTAGTATGTTTGTGCTGTACATGTATGTCTAAATATATTGTTGTACTAGGTATATTTATATTATTTCCCCATAACCCCACACTCCTGACACATACGAGTGTGCTAGCCTTTTGATCGAGCTACCTTGACACTGGTAGTTATCCGACCTCCTGTTTCCACCCCTGAAGCTAACACTTTTCACAACCCAGTGTCGAGTAACCCCTTAAAATATGCACACACTCTACTTCAAAAATAAGGGTTGTCAGAGGCACCACTGAAAAGGATTCAAACCCAGAACCTCCAAACTCTAGACAGACGCTTAAAACTCTAGATATATGCTGTAACTGATAGAGCTCCATGGACTCTGGTAGTCACCTAGCCCAGTCCTGTTAATTTCACCAAGCCCAGTCCTGTTAATCTCGCTTAGCACAGTCCTGTTAATTTCACCGAGCCCAGTCCTGTTAATCTCACATAGCCCAGTCCTGTTAATCTCACATAGCCCAGTCTTTGGACTTTAGCTGGTAGTCACATAGCCCAGTCTTTGGACTTTAGCTGGTGGTCACATAGCCCAGTCTGTGGACTTTAGCTGGTGGTCACATAGCCCAGTCTTTGGACTTTAGCTGGTAGTCACATAGCCCAGTCTATGGACTTTAGCTGGTGGTCACATAGCCCAGTCTTTGGACTCTGGTAGGCACATAGCCCAGTCTTTGGACTTTAGCTGGTAGTCACATAGCCCAGTCTCTGGCCTTTAGCTGGTGGTCACATAGCCCAGTCTTTGGCCTTTAGCTGGTGGTCACATAGCCCAGTCTTTGGACTCTGGAAGTCACATAGCCCAGTCTTTGGACTCTGGTAGTCACATAGCCCAGTCTTTGGACTCTGGTAGTCACATAGGCCAGTCTTTGGACTTTAGCTGGTGGTCACATAGCCCAGTCTTTGGATTTTAGCTGGTGGTCACATAGCCCAGTCCTGTTAATCATATATAGTGCCCTGGACTCTGGTAGTCACATAGCCCAGTCCTGTTAATCATATATATTGCCCTGGACTCTGGTGGTCACATAGCCCAGTCTTTGGACTTTAGCTGGTGGTCACATAGCCCAGTCCTGTTAATCATGCATGTTTGTCTAACAATAAATACACAGAAAATATGACTCGGACAATGTCACACTTTTAAACAATATTTTAATACCATTAGTTGTTTAGGTGTTTTTTTTAAACTTTGAATACAATGCATCTATTGTTACTATTACAGTGTGGTAGAAGAAAAAAAGATCAGGTTTTGGGCTCAATGTCAATGAGTTTCAGAATCATTAATATGCAGTGATAATCTGGAGTACACACTGAAATGATATACACATGTACACCCAGATCTGTTTTGTTTCTTACAATTTTTAAACAGCAATACATAGTGATATAATTCTAAAATTGATATTCCTGTGATTATATAGGAATCTTGTCTATTAAATAACATGTTCCTAGAAAGGAAATCAAAGGCTCAAAATAATGTCTGAATATTTGGGTGTTTTTTTTTTTTATTCAAGAGATGTAAATATGGATATTAGTATTCCTTAGGTTTTTTTTTACCAGCAATACAACTTGTTGGTGTTTGATACTTCTATGTACAAATCTTGCAAAAGCCAAATTTAACTTATTAATCATCTAGCTATATACAAGATTTCACAAGTCAAGTTTCAAAACATTATTCCAAATCTGAATCTTTCAGACATGTGTTCAATTTTACCTGTAATTTTCATTTCAGAGTTTATTTAATATGTTTGCACAGAATGAACAAGCTTGAGGCCATTCAAACATATTTCAGCAATCAGCCACTGACTTCCAGCAATTTGTTTGAGAGCTGATACAACTTACTTATACATGTATTGTGTTTCTGGAGCTATTCACACACTTATAAGTGGACATTATAATCATCTATGCAGGTAATAAAGGAATATTTTCTAGATACATGTCACGATTTGTCACATAATTGCAGCATTTATTATTTCTGTCGAGAGACACATTACAGGCACACTTTCACATACAGATTACATAAGAGTAAACACAACATATGTTAACACAGGATGAGAATGTTGACATATGTTGGAACGAAAAAAGGGGGCCCTATGCCGGTCATCACACTAGGTCAAGTTTGAAACATGGCTTCATTTCGGAAACAAGCGTGTAATTCACAAATCTTCATCCAACTATCTGTAAACGAGGATCTGACATACATAAGTTAACTCATATATAGGCCCCCCTTTGCAAGTTCCCTGAAAAGGATGGTGAACATTTCAAAGTGTTAACCATATAAATATATTTATAAATATAATCAACACTATGTAACAATTCTTTAATGAAGCACTCTTCAACTTCAGCATAATATAGACAAGACCTGACTAATGACAATATCCTAAATATTCCACGACCAGTGAAATAACAGCAACCAGTTAGTCCCTTCCAACTCTGCATCCGGAGCCACACACAGCCTGTTACAACCTGTTGATGGATTTCAGTACTAAACCACACCTGTCCTAGTCTCATCTCGGACTGTCGCAGCACTTTAAAATCATTTGTCAGTAAAAGCTGGAGAATTAATCCTAATGATGCATGCGTCTGCTCGTCCATATGCCTCCATATGTTAATATGTTTCTTCTGTCCCGAGGTCACATGACCTTATTTTAAACACCTATCAAAGTACACAGATCCTATATAACCACCACGCATAGACTTGGACACATTCTGCTCAAACAGTCTGCGGTTGTTCTGGAGTACCTCTGCAGCTTCCTTGTTGAGGGGATCTTCGGGGTTCGGTTCCTATTACGAGATATCACATACACACTTAAACAAATCAGTTTTATGTACATGATTTTCTCTATCTAATGAAATTGAACTGTGTGTGCCAGCAAAGATATAAGATTACTTCACTCCAATAAAAAAGAGTTTAGGTGAACATTTCGTTACTTAAGTGAAATTTCATATAGTTTGTGACTTTTCTGTAAGGCATAACAAATCATAACTTGTTCATCTGACAATTCAGACTGTTGAATGAAAAAGTACTTACTAAAAACAAATACTGCAGCCCATACACTATCGAGTTGACTGTTAGCACTGGCTTCCAATCTTCCCTGTATTGAATAAACATGTAAGTTAATAATGTAATCATGCCTTATTTAATACTTTGAAATTATTATTTAACTTCCACACAAATATAGACATCTTTGACTGCCCTTAGCTTATCATCTCTGACCCTTGGACTTCTGATTGGTCGGTCACTCTAGCTTTTGATCTAGTAGTGTGTTTTGCCTCAACACTGTAGTACAAATCATAGCTTTAAGCTGACCACTTAAGTCGGATAAGGATTTTTTTTCTTCTTAAACAACAGGTATTCCTATAAGATTTTGGTGCCAACAATTATAAAAGTTTTACCAAAGTTTGATCTTTCCTTTTCTGTTATTTTTTGGATTGCTAGTCATGTCTCAGTAATTAAATGCTTCCTCTGGAAACTTTTCAATTCAGAATATTTTATTGTATAGATATTACATCCAAAAGAAATTGGACAACAAGCAAAGCCTATAAAAGCTCTCTCCTTAAAATAGAAACAGTGCATACATACAATGAAGTAGAAATATACTGTCTTATATAAAAATATAGAAATATTAATATGAAATTTTATTAGATATTATTGAATCACCAATTGTTATAAGAGTAACTTTTGATCAAAAACTCAATCTGCTATGTTTGACATACTGTATACCAGGAAAGTTTTGTCCACCCAATCATTCGCCCTTCGTCGGTAAAGTCCCTGTCTGTCCAGTATTAATTTGCCCTTCACATGCAATAACTATATTTGTATGCTGTTTACTAATATTCACTGACGTGATGAATTCACTCCCACATAGAGTACGAAAAGGTGATAATTAAACTGTGGTGAAAATGTTCCCAGTAAAAAGTAGTCCTTACATTGTGGTTGTCTCTGCATTATCTATTTCCCATAAATACCGGTACAAATGCTGACTATATTTGACATAAATGCAGATTTTATAGAAAACAGTGACAGCTATGGATGAGGTATCCTATATATACCAGTCCCCTATAGTACCACAAATTTCTGTTCGTCTGTCAGAGAGCCTTACTTTAATATGTTGAGACACACGTTTCCCTCTAGGTCAATATTAGGGTGGTAGACCATGGTCACACAACAGCTTACCTTAATATGTTGAGACACACACACACGTTTCCCTCTAGGTCAATATAAGAATGGTAGACCATGGTCTCACAACACCTTACCTTAATATGTTGAGACACACATTTCCCTCTAGGTCAATATAAGAATGGTAGACCATAGTCTCACAACACCTTATCTTAATATGTTGAGACACACATTTCCCTCTAGGTCAATATAAGAATGGTAGACCATGGTTTCACAACACCTTACCTTAATATGTTGAGACACACGTTTCCCTCTAGACCAATATAAGAATGGTAGATCATGATCACACAACACCTTACCTTAATATGTTGAGACACGCGTTTCCCTCTAGGTCAATATAAGAATGGTAGACCATGGTTTCACAACGCCTTACCTTAATATGTTTAGACACACGTTTCCCTCTAGGTCAATATTAGGATGGTAGACCATAGTTTCACACTTCACTTTGGGAGGATCATGAGGGTAACCTTGACCAACTTTAAAACTAAACACAAATCGTCCGGCTCGATAAAACCCCTTCAATAATGAAAATATAACATGTTTTAGTACGCAAATAGAATATGTTTGTGTTAGCTTCAACTTTTGCTGTAAAGTCATATCATGACTTAACAGTACATGGTTTTTAATTGATCATTATTAATACTAGAAAACAATCTTCAGAGGTATAAGGTTAACCTGCAGCAAACTTAGCCCAAATCTATGAATTATTATCTGCAAAATTATTTATACTTTTACTAAAGTTAATAAGATGTTTACATTTATTGTCATCTTCCTTAAAAAGGGTGTTAGAAAAAATAATCCCAATTAGCTTTATTTCTTATTTCTTCATGGCTAACCCATTATTACATGATGTACATATTATATGTATAATGGACTTAAAATGTTTATGTAAATAACAAAGCAAATTTCTTATAATCAAAAGAACTGAGAATAAATCAAATAATAGCATCAAAATAAAGATTTATAAAGGTAGGTGATCAAAACATTTATGTATTCTCTAAAATACAACAAGCTGCAGTCAATCAGAGGATCTTAGCACTACATCAATCTTACCTCATCTGGACAAATATTTAATTTGAAGCTTAAAAGATCATCTGGGTCAGGAAAATCTACTTGACATGTCTTTGGTAAATTCAATTCATTGATGTCTGAAAAAAAATCAACAGACCTCACTTTACTTAATGAACAAACAACTGCAATAATCATAAATCTTCAAAATTTGAATTAAGTTTTGGTTTGTTTGTGTTTTACGTCCTATCAACAGCTATGGTCATTTAAGGATGTGCCAGGTTTTGGTGGTGGAGGAAAGCCGGAGCTCCCTGAGAAAAACCACCAACATACGGGCAGTACCTGGCAACTGCCCCAAGTAGGTCTCAAACACGCGACCCAGTGGTGGAGGTCTAGTGGTAGCTGAATGTCAGACACATTAACCACTTAGCCATTGCAGCCCCTTGAATTAATGAAATAATTCTGAAATTTGAATATATAACAACACCTATAAAACAAGTGTCTGTGCTATAACAGTCAAGCAAGGTGGCACTATGGAGACAGGAGTGTGTTAACACTTAACAGTTGGTCATGACCTAATAAACAGACAAACTTTTAATCTTTAAGTAAATAACTGCTGTGATTCTTGAGATGAAGTCAAAGATGTATTAAGCTATATATCAAGATGCAGGAAAGTTACCCTGATTGTTTTGAAATAACACAAAGGGTATTTATGAGACAAATTTCATGTTAATTTCTAGTCATTCTAGAGAAGAAAAAAGAAAATGTCACACCCAATTGGAGGCAAGGATGGCCATCTTGGACTTTTAGATTGACATGAAAAGTTCAACACTTGGTTTTGACCTAATATTAAGGAACATTTGTTCAGAGTTTATAGTCAATCATAGAAGCCATTTTTGAGAAGTAAAAAAAATGTCTTTTACTTTGTCAATTTACAGACATGCAGGTATTATCCAGCACTTGTTTACAACTAATTAATGCCTGATAAAGGCGGTCCCAGTCACAGACTTGTATTGATTATAGAATTGTACATTTATGTAGTACATAAAACTTTTCCAACACCTTGCAATAGATGCAAAAAATGATATATCAAATGTAAATGTTGCAAAATAAAAATGAATGTGTATAGCTATGTGAGATAGGATTTTTGACATCAGTCTTAAGAGGTGGGATATGTAACTTCTCCAGTAAAGAGATGGTCAAGCTGTCAAGGCAGGTTTTATTTAATAAATAATCTGGCTGCCTGGTGCTCTCTGTAAGGAGGTAAACACTCTACTAGAAGCTATACATGTTCTGCACATTGGCTCTATATACCATTATGGGTATTACTAAGTTACTAGGGATATGTGAGGGGTGTTTTTTCTTTGCTTTGGACTGTGATGAAGATTCCTCCAAAGAAAGTCTATTTGTTAAAAGGTTTTCTTAATAGGTGTACCTGATTTAAGATCTTTGGAGATGAGGATGCCTTAGTAGTGGGTAGTGCTGACCTGCTGTTGGATGATATTTTTGTAAGGCAATAAAAGTGTCGGTTTCAACAAATCTTATTGTATTTACAAAAGGATGAGACAATAAAAGTGTTGGCTCTGGCCGGATATGGTTTCACACACCCTGGTTAACATATTTATTATAACTCTTGGATGACGATGTTGATTGCTTTTGTTTTTGTTTACCTTCTCAATGATCCGAAATGACTGATGTCACATCAATATGTAGAGCGCATACCTCGGCTCAAGGGTGAGAGCTCATTTTGAGGAGTCGGAACATACTCTCAAGGGTCTACACCAAAGCCCTGACCTTGTTTTACTCACAGCGAGTCATTGTGATTATGGGAAATCATACCAAGTGTCGGATTTCCGACTTCCACAATGGTGCGACACATTATTGTTTACATTCTTTAGAGATGAGTCAAATTCATTGTCAATGATTGAACCGACACAATAATAATGTATCTGACAGTTGTATTTTTCTCATATTTATATTATGAAAATTATCTCAATATTTGCATTACAACATGAATATTTTTAGACAAAAACATCTGCCTCCGCTGAACCGGATTAAGAAATACTGCGTTTCGAATCTGTCAATAAAACTTTGTTTTCATCACCTTTTTGTATTCTTAGCTGGGCTGCTGATGCTTTCTTTTGGCTTCCAGATTTCTCATTGACGTCTACACCGTCTTTTTTCTGTTGTTTTAGTGAAAATAACTTAATCATTGTCACTTTTTATATTCAGTCAAAGTCAACATACACAACACTACAGCGATGTAGTTCTTACAAATAATGTCCACTCTGTCTGTCAGCCCTATGTGAGACCGGAAGCTTTAAAATTAAAATTCACAAAACTAATTGGAAAAGCGGTTCAAAATTTCCGGATATACGCTGACTTCAACACGGAAAATAAATAAATCAATAAATAAGCAAATGAATAAGCAAATACAATTATTATACATATATAGTGAATCATACCTTTATACTTTTATTATTTCTTTATGTATGTTTATGTTTATGAATGTTTATTTATGTCTGGCGAGATAATTCAACATTCTTTTTTAACTACCCCTAGCCACAATAACAGTGAGTTATTTCTGGTTCAGGACTATTTAAGTCCTCTAACGTGTTTTACCAGGCTCTCAAATAAATAAATAATAAAATGTATGTGTCAAATCACGGACTTAGATAACAATCTAATCTAATTCCGTGGTCAAATACTTCTAACCGATATACATGTACATTGATGTCTATATGACTCGATTATTGCTTTGAAATTGAAGAACAGACCAGTCTTAATTTTTCCAGTGATTATCTAGCTTATTTTTTTAAAGGATGAATATTTTGTGCTGATACGAATTGTGCTGGTAGTTCATTCCAAATTGTCACTGTTCTGATAGAAAAATAGTTTTTTCTGAGCATATTTATTGATCGCTAGGGGATTTTTGTGTGTGTGTGTCCTCTGTCACTGTGGCGATCAGGGACAACTTTCCATAGTGTGACAGCATCAAAACATTCATTATCATAAATTTGACTTATTATTTTGCACAGTTCTATCAGATCTCCCCTAAATCTCATGAAAGCCAGTGTTGGTAGCTTTAGTTTCTCCAACCTCTCGCTGTAGGTCAGGTCCCTCAATTCTGGGAGACACTGACTTGGTTATTCTTGGTTGCTCCTTCTACCTTGTCGATGTGTTTTTGTACTTAATTTCTTGTAGGTTTTTGTAAGAAAATAATCAAATGTTATAAGGCCGAGGGTAGATCTTCGTATTTAATCATTTTTACTTCTAAAAAATTCAAGTGAGTTCCTTTTATTTGAGGATTGTACAGCCCTGTGCCGAATGAAACGTGACAATTTCCCCCCTTCGTTATTTCACGTGTTTCCAAATATTTTCAGTGAATTTTCCTGAAGTCAATTGTTGTGTTATGATGTGCAACTTAAACAAAAATGTGTAACATGAAAGAGAATTTTTCAGAATTTTTCCTCAATGTATTTTATTTGCCTCTTTTTTAAGCGGTTTCAGCATTTGACAAATTAATCAAACGAAATGATATTTGTTGCATTTATTTGGTTCTTTATCTTACCAAAAATGTTTAGTAAAATCTTCATTCTGAGAGCAACTTGTTATATCTTGAAAACCGCTTTTAAAAACTATAATAGACATTCTTTTTTGAGGAATAATACTATAGAAGTATTATGAGAGAAATATTCACACAATTCTCTTTCATGAGATGCAAATGACTGTTTCAGATGTATTCCAATTGACTTCAGGAAAACTCATTGAAAAAATGTAGGATGCATGAAATACACAAGGGAAAACGCTGTGACTTTTTGTTTGACACGAGATTGTAAATATGTAAATGTATTTCATTTAAATGAAATTTTCTGCATCTAAGTTTTGAATGTCGGATCGAACACTGCTGACTGTGATCCGACATATATTGTGTCTATTTGAGAATATAACCAATGTAACAACACGGTTAAAATTAACATGTCCGATTTTTAAGGAGTATGTTTACGTACGATTTGGTTTTTTTACGGCCCTGCCCTTCTAATCAATTTGTTTTTATTTATGCAAATTTCAACTATGGCATCCAGAATGACTAATATCAATAAATAAAATAATATCATGATATTATTGAAAATTTAAGAAAAAGGTATTTGAAAGCCCAGCTATCGTCTAAATACTACAATACAACACATCTTGTGCGTAAGGAGTATTATTAGACGTTTCATTCGTTTAGATAAACCACGGACTTAGATCTGATCTAATTCCGTTGACAAACACATGATAAAAATACCATTGATGCTCATGTCGTATCTGTACCTGTGTGTAGAGTTTTAATGGGTTTTTTAAAAAAAAAAAATAGTGCTTTAGTCTTTATTACTAGTTACCTGCTTTATTTATCTATTATTCATTTACCTACCTATTTAGCTCAACTTCTGCTTTGCATGGCGCTTTTATATACCAATAATTGGCAGCATAGTTTCTAGTCATCTCTTCTAATCATAATTATAGCTCAATATCTTTTACTTACTAGACCTTGTCGTCCTATTTCAATTTACACTATATTAGTGTATATTATGTAAATTTTTACTCTTTTGCTATATAAGCATGTATGTACATTACACTTGAAGTGTTTTAACCCTCCTATTATATAGCAACACCTGTGTGATATGCAGCTGTTTCACTATTATCACTTTACATCATATTTTAGTATAGCACTTTAAATTTAGTGCCTGTGATATCTATTTATATGCTGCTATGTTATTGTATGTTTTACTCACTGATTATGGGCTAGCTTTCTGTGATAGTGTATAGCTTGATTTGTTGTTTTCTGTTTGCTTTTTTATCATGTTTGTCGCAAAAATAGCGCTACAGCGCTGGTGTTTCTCTGTTTGATATATGCGACGTTAAATAAAGTTTTTTGTATCTTGTATCTTGTACCCCNCCCCCCACCTTCTAAACTTGTTCTATACCAAATGAGTGGAAAGTGCTTGCTGAAAAAGTCATGTCTAGACGCTGTACTTTTTCTTTATTTTAAAATTATACCGCATGATCTTGATGGGTATGTACAAATCAAATAATATACATATACAGTTAGAAAGTTTTGTTTTTGTTTGAAATACATATCCACATTCAAAGCAGTAAATAAAGCAATTTTGAATAATCCTTAATTGGACTCCGTACCTGAAATAAAGTCTTTTATTATTTTTTATTATTATTTTTCAATGATCAGATAAAGTTCACAAACCCCTGGTCTGAGTTTTCCTACAAAATCACCGGTCCTTTTGAATCGAGTGTGCCTAGTATCTTGTGGAAAACATGACGTTTTGTCCACATTTTGGTATCAAAATCCGACGCGATCGTTTCTTTATGTTATTTGAGACTAGTGAATGCTGCAATATATTTCCGGTCTCTTCTTTGGGTCAGAGTTCTGACAAACAACCACAGTCTAGTTTCCGTTTTATCGGCTACTTCCTGTAGAAGTAATAATTAACGTAAAGAATTCCATATAGCACATTGTGACACAGCTTGATAAATTACATTGTTTGTATGAAATTGTATAAAACAGTCAAGTTTGTTTCTAAGATAGCCAGGTATACCATTCATATGTACAATCGTTACCAGAGCTGTCATTCACCACACTAACTGACTTACCACTCATGTAAGGTAAGTGATTGTAAGGAACGACAACTCTGCTTAGATGTTGCTGCCAAAAAAGGTAGGATAGCTTTTCTATGTCTATTTTAAAGAGATATCATTTAATCATTGATCTTACCTCGATAATATATTATAATTGTGGTTATTTTAAAATGCCCTTCACTGTAACTAATGGACGAATACAATCATTGGTATGCTATCCCAAAGGTACATAATATATTTCCGCGCTTTATTTAGGTGTCTTTATACAACCTTTTTTTACCTCTTTTCCAGGAGATTTCCAACTTTTGTCAACACAGGGGACAATCACGTTTATCACCTTAAACTTTTCAGATGGTCATGTTGAAAATCCTGGGACCGACTGAATAACTAGTAGTTATACAAATTTCATATGATATTTTAATACGATTATATATATAGTTTAAATCTGACCGAAACGTCACCAGTGTCTGTTTGTACTCATAATAGCCAGCCTCCTCTGCCCAGCAATATATAAAAAAAAATGTCTCGTCGTCAGAAGCTATATTATCGCAGCTAGCCTAGGGTTTGATACAAATGCATGTACAGTGTATATACATACTACACATATGTTTACATACGGATGTCATATAAGGATCACACTGTCACAGTATATCTCTCATTGAGGAAAACAGTGAAAATACATGATTTTTAAAGAAAACTAGCAGGGTAGGGAGGTTTCCTGAAGCCTAAAAAAACCCTTTAGATCCGCCACTGACACAGTATATCTCTTAAATTTGGAATAAAGTCAGAACAGTTCTGACGAAACTAATATAAGTGCTCATCCGATCTATGTTAAGCCTAACCACAGGTGCTCAGGTTTGGAGTATATGTGATATATTTAGGTTTCGCACATCACTGTGATCATAAATAATTGGGCTGTAGAATATATATATATATGATATTATCTGTTTACATATCGTACATCACTGGATATTGCACTCCTTATATGGTAACTGGTTTTGCCCTAAATCCCCTTCACGCTAAGGGTTGTTTCGCCCTTAAGGTTGTTTTGCCCTAAGACTATTTTGTTAATTTATACGCTTATATAATAATTGATATTTAAATATATCAACTAAACTTATTGATAACTTTCTATATTGTTGTTAGGGTACATTCGCGTATCCGGTTGAAACGGTTGAACCTGTAAAGAAAACGTCAGGTACGTACAGATCTGAACCGAGGCTGACCTCAGGAAATTTCACATAATGTTGGAACATTCGAAAATGACTTTGGAGGGTGATTTTCTTGCGGGAACCTCTCTGTTTTTTTGGTTTTTTTTACACTTAAGTGGAAAACTTTTACACTTACCAGTAATGGCCATTTTGTCTTTTTGCACTGAAGTCGTTTAGGTATTTTATCCTAAAACGGCCGCCCATAAAAAACAACACAAACACATTTCTTTCTAAATAATTTTTTAATTGTTTGTGACTTAAAACTACTAAAATTGAAAGAAAATACCGAACAATGTTTCGCCCTATTTTTTTGGTTTTAGGGCGAAACGTTTCAACCTAGCGCGAACCAACCTAGGGCGAACAGGACTTAGGGCGAAACAACCTAGGGCGAACAGGACTTAGGGCGAAACAACCTAGGGCGAACAGGACTTCGGGCGAAACAACCCGGAACCCCTTATACTAATAAATCATATTTTACAGTATTATGAAATATTAGTGTAAGTAATTTTATACAAAAGTATTCATATCCATATCTATGACATCTTTGAGGAATTTTACGGAACAATATTTTTTTATTTGAGTACTTTATAAAGAAAATTCAGCAAAAAACAAAAAAACAACAGATCAGTGGTCGACCTTGGGACTTGGGCATTGCAAATCCTACACTGTTCTGACATTGTATTACATCTACAAATGTTAGATTCAGCCCGTGTTCTTTTTCATTTACTGTCCTGAAAAGAAATTATTTGAAGATCATCATGCTGTGCTTGTATTGACTCTAAGCTATCAAGAGTTTCTTAATCCACAGGAATTTGATTAGAAATCAATGTTTCTATATTAAAATGTAATTTGACGTGATTTCAGAGTGGACAGCCAGGATGTCAGTTCCTGTTTTCATATAACTGGATCGATGCCTGACTTTTACTGGTCAAGGGACAAAAAGCAGGTATGAATTTCAAAGTTATAGATTATATTTAGTTTGGTCAAAGTACTTGTGATAGTTCACATTTCAGTGATATGAGACTTTAATAATTGCATTTCAAGCGAAAAAACTATATACAGTCACAAAGAGATGTCTGTTAGTATTCTGAGACATATCAGTACTAATCTAATTCTGTGGTACTACACTGATGAGCCTAACTTACTAATTTTATAGCATGATCTAGAGTAACTTGATCACACTGAAGTTGAAATGATATATATTCTACAATAATAATCTCATGATCACCATCCTCCAACCCGAAAAAGTTCTTTTTGGTTAACAATTCATATTGATCATGTGTGTATGAGTTCTGGTTAAAAAGAAATCCTTTTCATCAGATTTAGTCTTTTTAAATCCCTTTATTATAATTTCAACTTTACATTGTTGGCAGTGTTTTGACCTGAGTGTATGGGTTGACACAGGTTCGACTTCTAGTGTCTTGGGTATTTAATGTCAGACCTCTAGACGTGGTCTTAAAATACTGTTATTTTATGCATGGAAATTTTGTTTATTTAAACGTTACCCTAAGAAATTATTGATTGTCCACCGTCATATTGTTATAATTTGTTCATATAATAGGGCTACATTCGCGTATCCGGTTGAAACGGTTGAACCGGTTGAACCTGTAAAGAAAACAACAGGTACAGATTTGGACCGAGGCTGACCTCAGGAAAATTTGGTACGTGTAGATTGAGGGGTCCAGACGTACCTGACCGAAACTAAAATGCTGACTATTGCCAATTTGCGTTATTTCTTTCTTAAACAATGTCAAGTCACAAGTAATTTTTAAGATCCGTTATGTAATTTAGTGGACGCGCGAGAGAAGGGCATAATATTCTTGATACATTGTTTTTTATTCTCCGAAACTGTGGATTTTTAGCTCTCTGCTTATAGAACAGTCCAAGTGTGTTCCTTTATCGTGGAAAATTTCTGCGCCACACGTACCGTTTCAACCGGGATACGCGAATGTAGCCTTTATTTCAGAGCATTAGGAGCTAGGGACACATTCAGTCACTGTTCTAAACAATATAATAAAAAATACTCCAGGGCCCGTATTCCGGAAACCGTTCTCATGCTCAAGCATGGATTCTGTGCTCAAACCTAATTTCTTGTTCTTGTTATAACTTAATAAATAGATCTTGTTTTGTCAATGATTTGGAAACATTTTGAAGAGACTTGAAGACAAATACTGTTTTCAATGTTTAGAATGGACTTTTTAATCGTTTGACATGATTTAAGCGAGTTACAAGAAAGTTGGTTTGAGCACAGAATCCATGCTTGAGCATGAGAACGGTTTCATGAATACGGGCCCTGGATTCCAAAGACTTGTGACAATTTTATTTTCTGATTACAATCCCACTTGCCCAGCCACCTCTAAGGAATATATGATCGTAGCATTTATCAGAACAAATAATCCATTGCTGTTTGTATCCTCTTGGTGTTTATGTAATGACAACAATCAATTTGGTTGTAGGGATGATTCGAGTCAAAAGACGGAACCTGATACTGTTGGTGGTGATAGGGGCATTCCCAACTGGCCTCCTGGTCTATTTAGCCTTCTCCTCAGATGGTAAGCTCTGTGTAACAAAATATGGTATTACATGGGTCATAGTTTGAAAAGTAAATACATTTTCCTTGGTTTGGCAACTGATATAATAGGCAGATCTTCTTCACTACCTATTATAGATGTACTTATTTCAGCGCAATCATATTTTAGCATTAATTTGCGTGTGTGTGTGTTATGATCCAAAACAAATACAAAATATACTAGTAATGCCTAATGTCAAGAGGTGTTCTTATTTTCTGAAGATGCTGCAAAAATCTGTTGTATTTTCTTGAAATCAGCAAAATGAAATTGATGGGTTTCACACTATTCAAGAGGGTTAATTCTTTGACTCTGGACTGGTATTCATGTGTATAGTTGGAAGGTAATTCCCTATCAACGAGACAAGTCATATCTTGCCCTAGGAGACTTTAACTTTTCTGGACCGCATACAGTACACTACGGCTAGACCTGGCTCGGTCGAATCCAGATTTTTGTCTAACTCAACAAGGAATTGGGCTGAGACAATGACTATGGATATCACATAGACTCTCTAGAATCTGGAAAACTGTGCAAACTGACCAAAGTTTGTGGTCCAGGTGTGTTTGGTTTAGACAGCACACAGTATATGTAATGAGGAGAGTATTTGTTTTCTTCTCAGATATATCACCATCACAGATGAATACACTGGACATCCATCAGGTCGAGTCCCGGTTTTCACAGATGTTACGGGAACTGGACAAGGAAAACAAGGCTGTAAACAAAGAGCTCAGGTATATATAGCGGGGGTTGCAAAGCCATAAAGGATGGAAATCAAAGAGGTGATAGGGTAATTACAATAGGTTAAGTTATGGTTTAAAATGGGGTCTTCCCTGAACACCATCTCTGCTTAAAGTCATATGTTTACATAGGTGTTTAAATGTGGTCACTTGCAAGTTAACAGGTTTTACAAATTTAATGGGAGTCTAAGTAAAACTTTCCATGGTCATGTTATTTTGGATTACAAGTTCACATACTGGTTATTTTAATGTCAAATGGTTAAGATGTGTGACAGCATTTATCCTGCATTATGCCCAAGGGACTGACTCGAAGTATGTGGGTGGGCCTATTACAGAACAATAGAAAAACTAGTGTAAGTATGGATTGGCTTGATCATCAGGTTAATAATGGCTGAAATGTGATATGTGATCAAGAAGTCCAAAATAAGTCCTCATTGCCAAGAAACTACAATACTTAATGATATCCACTGCAGCAAAGTTGGGGTATACTGGAATCAGGTCTGTCTGTCTGTCTGTCAGTCTGTCTTACTCCTCCTCCTAAAGTGCTGTACTGATTTCCTTGATACTTGGTACACAGAACCATTATCTGGAGGGAATGTGAATTAAGTACATGTACAATGTATATAGATTCAAGTTTCCCCCTAAAAGTATTGTTCACACCAATCCTCCCAAAGCACTGCACTGATTTGAATGATACTTCATTGAAACATGTAAAACCTACATTGATGGGCTATGAATAAACTATAGTGTAGTTGGAGTCTCCTGTACAATTTATGGAACATTTTTTGCGCACTATTCCATCATAAGTACTCGACCAATTTAAAGGATACTTGGTACACATAACACATTGAGTGGATGTGGATCAAGTATAAGAGTTACCTACAAAAATTAAGGAGTTAAGCCCCTTTTTTTAAAAATGGTAGTTTAAGTCACTCCTCTCAAAGTATGGCACCAGTTTAAATGGTACTTGGTGCACAGAGTCCTTACATCAATGGAATGTAAAATTGATTTGTAGTTACCTGGAGTTATGCCCCTTTGTTTTAAGATATTCTGGAAACTATTCCTCCATTTCTTGGCTAAGGTGGGACGGAAGTATTAGTCTGCCACATCCTGATGACATTTCTTGTGAAGCGTGTAAAACTATACAACATTTAAGGGTCGTTTTGTTGTCTTATAACAAGATGTTTTGTTCTGTGTTTATAGCCAAACCAGGAGTCAGCTGCTGAGCTTACAGATGAGTTTGGCGGCCCAGAATGACAGTGGGACTAGTAACACCACTAGAGTACGCTGTAAGAACCCTCAGCCAGAGATACCCAAGTGTGAGGTAATGTATCACGTATCCTCTCTATGCATGTATTGAAGAGTCGGGTCACACAGTGGATAACAACACATTCACTATTTACCAAGACCGCCTGGGTTTGATTCCCCAATAGGACACCCCTGCAGGTGGGGGATCGAGAAAAGAATACACCTACTGTTACTCACTGCATGTTTCGTGTGGGAAATGTGGGAACTCCCTGCAGAATTGGGGATTTGCTTTTGTGCCCTCTACTTAGGGACACAACAGTGACCAAAATAAATCTGCTGCACCAATTGCAATAGTGTGGATCTTTATATTTCTCTCTACTTATAACTACCTTTTATTTCCTAGTGCCTTGCTTGGCAATACCTCACTTTTGGTTTTATTATTGAGCATTTGCCAAGGTGAGGAAGGCAATGGGTTTTGACCCCTGGCCGGGACATGCCAAAGTCCTTAAATATGGCAGTTGTTATTCCCTGCTTAACCCTCAGCATTAAGGGTAATTGAAACAACTGGTTCACCCGTTGTCAGAATAAGTGACTGGGCAGATCGCTGTGCTGGGGGCCTTCGACATGATATTTCAGTGAGATAGCACTGTAAAGTCAGCATCAGATCTGCTCTATCAGGAGATCAAGATACCCTGTCTCCAGCACACATACTCGCATGCACGCATCCTGATCCACAACATACACTGGGCATGCCCTTAAATGACCTTGGCTGTTAATAGGGCGTTATACAAAGTAAAACAAAAACCAAACCCCAATAGGACTTGGTAAGGTAGTTAGGTCACCTGTCTGACCACATTGGTTTTCTCCAGGTACTCTGGTTTTCTCCCTAAAATCCCTTGTTCACTACCATCTGGGCATTCAAGAGTGGATAATATAAATTGATAAAATTTGTTTCGTAATTAATGTAAAATAAATAAAGTTTATAATTATGTATATAGTGTAGGGATATATCATGTCAGCCAGTCGTCTTATGGGTGTGTATGACAGGTATCATATGTAAACCAGCAGACACAGTGGGGTGAATTGGACCTTTTGGTTTTAATTGTAACTAAGTAACATGTTGGTAGTCATATGGCACATCTTTGGGTTAGACTACAATTTGCCCTACATGATACAGGGGTTGTGCTAACACTGTTTTTGGATCAAAATATGCTAAAGAATATACCAGGGACCCTCAGGTAGAAGATCATTTTCATTATGTCCCTTGCAGGTTATCCATGTTGCTATCGTTTGTGCGAAGAACAATGCCACACGACAGGTCGTGACGTTAATAAAAAGTGTCCTGTTCTATCGCAAGAATCCTCTTCACTTCCATTTCATCTCGGACAACATCGCCCAACTCATCCTGCTGTATCTGTTTGAGACGTGGGATGTAGCTGAAGGTATGATGATATTTGTGTGTAGCAGATTGGTCTAGTGACTAACTTTCATGGAAGGTATTTCACAGATAATCAGCAGCACTTTGGTTCATTGGTTCATGGATAAGAAGATGTATAATTAACTTCAATTATGATTTAGCAATACATTTTTAACACAATGTGTATTACTGTTAAAAAAACATTTTCTGTTAGCTTCGTGATATTTAATTTGGAACTGAAAGTTATATAGGTTTTTGTAAATAAAAAAAAAAAAAAAAAAAAAAAAAATGGTGTTTATCTCAGGTTGATATATCAAACATACTGTGGCATGCTAATATCAGTTTTTCTATCAGATTTAAACAAAGTTGTGCTGTTGATTAGATGTGTAGTTAAGATAAATGTCTGTTAAGAATGATTGTGAAGTATGAACCTATTCGTTTTGTAGTTGAAGTGAGTTTTTACCCTACCAGCAGTGTTGAGGTATGTGTAAATGGTCTGCAGTGATTCCATTAGTACAGTAAACTCTGCTTATTATTAGAGTATTATGCATGCATACTTTTATGGTGTTCAAAACATGGTTCAAAGTTTTCTTTACGTGTTTGAAATGTTGGAAACTTCTATTTTCCTTCTTTCCATCCTAGCGTTTAATGAGATGGTATAAAAGATGAATATACAACAATTTGATGTACAGACAATGTATTTATGGGTGAATTACTTGGTTGTGCAGAATGATGTGTCCTGGATACAGAACAAGCACTACTCTGGTGTGTTTGGGTTGATGAAGCTCACACTTCCTAAAACACTACCTCAAAGTCTACACAAGGTAGGAGCCAGGCCTAGAATACTGAAATTATTCATGTTATGCCCCTCACAGTATTGTGGCTGGAGGTGGTTACCTTTTCTGTCAGTCCATCTGTCCATGCTGTATTTTGGTTAGATTTTATGTTCAGCTCCATTACTTTAATACTGAAAGTCAAACATTGATCAACTTCGTGTGTTATATGTTGAAAACTTGAGGTATATGACATCAATATATTAGGTAGGTCACTGTTTTCTATATTTTCATTGACCTTGGTTGCAATATGCATTTAGCTTCATTCCTCGGTTTAGAGTTTACTTTTAGGATCATTTCCATCAAAATGAAAGGAAAAGCATTTGTATGTTCTCCAAACATTTTCTTGTTCATCATAACTGTTTGGTGTAGTTGTGGTAATGCTTAATCCTTACATGTGAAGTTTTACTGGGTTTTGTAAAAATAGTATACAAAATATTTGTGAAATCTAGATTAGATTGGTTACAATGGCATTACAGGAATAACAGGTATCATCGGGATAACTTCCAAAAGGTAGTACATTCTCAAATAATAAATCAAACAGGTTTTTTCTCATGCTTACACACTTGAAAAATTGATGATTTAATATGATTTGTTTTGTAAATTGACTCACCAAAAGACCCATGGCATGTGGATTTATTTATTAATTCATTAGATTTGTATTATTGGGTCTCTCTTTTTTTTTAACAATTGATCCATATCTATAGATACTGATGTGAAGGTTTTTATTTTCCAGGTCATAGTTTTGGATACAGATGTAACTTTTGCCACAGATATAGCAGAACTTTGGAAAATATTCCAGGTTTTAAAAGGCAAAAAGGTATACAAAGCAGTAATGCTAAAACATTCAATGTAATGTAAACATTTTTTGGAACCGAAGCAAAACTTTAAGACCAAATAATAATGTTTTAAAATTCTGCATGTAACAAATTCTAATATTTTCAAATCAGATATATCCATAGTTGTAATGTTTGAAAAGAGTAATGATGTAAATATGAGTACAGAATCCTTCCTCCTTGTTATAAATTGATTACACTGATGCATGTTGGGATACATTTTTCATCAGGTATGCCTCTTAGTCAGTCACATGACCACACACACACTGTACTTAAGTTCTCATTGATTTATGTCAGACTCCATACAGTAGGACAAAGCTCTGGTGTAACTTATAGTATTTGTTGTGACAGGCTGATTTATCTTGACAGATTCCAGGTTAATTTGTGTTTAGATTATATAATTTAAGACAAAAGTAATATTTCAGTATTGCATTGATTACAGTGATACATTGCTACATTGTAGGCTATAGGTTTGGTAGAGAACCAGAGCGACTGGTACCTAGGGAAGCTATGGAGGAACCATCGACCCTGGCCAGCTCTGGTAAGCTGTAATACCAAAACAGTCTGTTTATAATGTCTGCAGATGGCAGTAATAATTTACCTACGGAGAAAACATTGACACATGGTTAAAGATTAGAAGTTAATTTAGCCAAGACAATGCAACGTCATAGCTAGTTAGATTTAGACAATCTAACTCATTCACCCTTGAAGACACATATGAATTTGTCCAATTCAATGGTTGAAATAGTTCATTATGATATTTCAGGGGTGAATGAGTTACTGTCACAGTGATATCACTTTGTTGTTTATGACACTGGAACTACAAGTACTACTCTATTATAAATCAGGATCACCGTCTTATTCTGAACTGTACTGTACATGTATTTACCAAGAGTTGGGGAGTTTCTGCTACAGGACTTACACTACTCAATCTATGTCAGACTGAACAAACTCCTTTGTATTGTGTATCCTTGTTCTGTAGATTGCGGTTCCACTGAAGACTTTCTCTGTGTACTACAGTGGATGGTGGTTTTATTTTAAAACATCTGTTGTGTCATTATGTACTAGGGACGTGGGTTCAACACAGGAGTGATACTGCTTGATCTACACATCCTTCGACAGCTGGACTGGACCAATATGTGGCGGTCAGTGGCTGAGAAGGAACTCCAGACGATGCACTACACATCTCTAGCTGACCAGGTATGTATACTGTATAACTGGTACTTGTCTCAGTCAAAGTCATACTCATCATAAACCACCAATACTCACACACTCCATCTTTTTATGTCTAAGTATGTTATACAAACTACCAATACTCACTTTACACACGACTATCGGTACCTAAATACTCATCAACTGTGGGTCTCACAACCACCAACACTTAGCCATTGGACTGTCTCAGTACTCGTAAATATACTTGAGACAATATTACAATCAATAAAAAATTGCCGCAGAATAATTTTTCACCTTTTTTAATCCTCAGTAATGAGGGTAAATTTAGTATAACAGCAAATACTATAATTGATTGAACTAGGCTAAAACCAATTATACTAGTTAAGAGTGAAAGTTTGACTAATGAAAGTTTACCTGTTTACAGTAAAGAGTTAAATAAAGTAAGACGGGAAAGAAATTTTGGTATGAAAACTCTCCTATGAATGTGTTGACAGGACATATTCAACACAGTCCTCAAGCAGAACCAGTACCTCTTGTATCACCTACCCTGTCAGTGGAACGTCCAGCTTAGCGACAACACACGCAGTGAACGGTGTTACAGTGATATTTCAGACCTCAAGGTAAGTTACTCTGATCCATGAACGTCCAGCTCAGTGACAACACACGCAGTGAACAGTGTTACAGTGTTATTTCAGACCTCAAGGTAAGTTACTCTGATCCATGAACGTCCAGCTCAGTGACAACCCACGCAGGGAACATTGTTACAGTGATATTTCAGACCTCAAGGTAAGTAACTGTGATCCATGAACTTCCAGCTCAGTGACAACACACGCAGTGAACAGTGTTACAGTGATATTTCAGACCTCAAGGTAAGTTGCTCTGATCCATGAACGTCCAGCTCAGTGACAACCCACGCAGGGAACATTGTTACAGTGATATTTCAGACCTCAAGGTAAGTAACTGTGATCCATGAACGTCCAGCTCAGTGACAACACACGCAGTGAACAGTGTTACAGTGATATTTCAGACCTCAAGGTAAGTAACTGTGATCCATGAACGTCCAGCTCAGTGACAACACACGCAGGGAACAGGGGTACAGTGATATTTCAGACCTCAAGGTAAGTTACTCTGATCCATGAACGTCCATCTCAGTGACAACACATGCAGGGAACAGTGTTACAGTGATATTTCAGACCTCAAGGTAAGTAACTGTGATCCATGAACGTCCAGCTCAGTGACAACACATGCAGGGAACAGTGTTACAGTGATATTTCAGACCTCAAGGAAAGTTACTCTGATCCATGAACGTCCAGCTCAGTGACAACCCACGCAGGGAACATTGTTACAGTGATATTTCAGACCTCAAGGTAAGTAACTGTGATCCATGAACGTCCAGCTCAGTGACAACACACGCAGTGAACAGTGTTACAGTGATATTTCAGACCTCAAGGTAAGTAACTGTGATCCATGAACGTCCAGCTCAGTGACAACACACGCAGTGAACAGTGTTACAGTGTTATTTCAGACCTCAAGGTAAGTTACTCTGATCCATGAACGTCCAGCTCAGTGACAACACATGCAGGGAACAGTGTTACAGGGATATTTCAGACCTCAAGGTAAGTTACTCTGATCCATGAACGTCCAGCTCAGTGACAACACACGCAGGGAACAGTGTTACAGTGATATTTCAGACCTCAAGGTAATTTGTTTGTTATCTGTGGAACATGCAATTCATTGAGAAACTTTACAGACAGCAGTGCTACAGACACATTTCTGACCTCAGGGGAAAGTACAATGGTCAGTCCATGTATGACTATATATGTAGCAGAAATTAAGTTTATTGAAATAACTAGTGCATCTGAAATAAATAAAAGTATATGTGTATCAAAGCTCTGAAATCAACCACAAAGGTTTGATTCACATACTGTTTGCATTTATATGTGCTCATAAAATCAATGACGTTTATATTAGTATAATGCATTTAATATATGTAATTAAGTAATTTGAATTGGATATATTAAATCCTGTTTATGATATAAATATAATATATTTTCAAAATTGTAGATCATTCATTGGAACTCACCTAAGAAATTGAAAGTGAAGAACAAACATGTGGAATTTTTCCGTAATCTATACCTGACCTTTCAAGAATATGATGCCAATTTGTTACGGAACAGATTGTTTGGCTGTGGAACAACTGGTGCAGTGAACCCAATGCAGGAACAGGTGGTTATGATCTTAATGGTTAACGACTCACTTCAGACAAAACTTTAGAAAATGTCACTGTACTTTTTTTTTAAACAAACAGTTACCTCCCCTTAGTTTTGTTTTTGACATAACTGTATTGGAAATAGCTGATCAAGTAGTTCAGTTGGTTAAGAGGGACTGTACTGTGATGGGTAGTCCAGGGTTTGAATCCCTGCATGGCTGTATTGATGATGACTTAGCTAAAGCTGATCTAAATGAGAAACATCAATATGAATCTTGTTCATTACATACCATATGCTTTCTAGTATCTATGACACATTTGAGATCCAAAAGACAATTGGTCATTTTAAAAAAAATATTAAAAGTCCGTGTTTTCTTTCAATGTTTATGTTTTCCCAGCTGAACCAGATCAGTGAAGATGACGAATGTTATGACTTTAGCCGAGAACGGGTCATTGTCCATCGCACTCACCTGTACTACATCGACTATGAGTATGAGCCCCTTGAGCATGATGTGACTTTGGTCACACAGCTAAGCATGGACCGACTACAGATGCTGGAGACTATCTGTAAACACTGGGAGGGCCCCATTAGTCTGGCTCTGTACATCTCTGACGCCGAGGCCCAGCAGTTCCTTAGATATGCCCAGGGCTCGGAGATCCTGATGAAGAGAAAAAACATTGGCTACCATGTGGTGTTCAGGGATGGGGTAGGTTGTGAGGCTGTACATGTTTTACAATAGAAACTGGGCCCGTATTCATGAAACCGTTCTCATGCTCAAGTCTGAATTTTGTGCTCAAGTCTTATTTCTTGTTCCAGTTATAAATTATTTAAAAAATCATTTTTTGTTAAAGATTTGTTAAAAATTGAAGAATCTAGAAGCCAAATACTGTTTTCAATATTTAAATTTGACTTTTTGATGGTTGACATGATTTTGGTGGGTTACAAGAAAGCTGGCTTGAGCACAGAATCCATGCTTGAGCATGAGAGCGGTTTCATGAATATGGGCCCTGATCTTATAAGCCTTCAGACAATATTCAGTGTGAGCTCTAGGCTTGGTAGAATCTTAAATACTGACTTATAGAAGTATCTCAGACCCACTATGCTCCCACAAAAAGGGACATATTAAGTAATTTAATTTTGATTGACTTTAACAGAATGTTAAGAATATCATAAACGATGCTGTATATTAACTTCAGTGAAACCTGACTATACAAACACCTGGCTTTTAGGTCACCATGCAATGTCCAATATGATTAGGGACTCGAATGATTGGATTTGCTGTGTCTAATATAACCGGGATGCCAAACTGTAGCCTGATATATAATGTAATCTTAAACAATTATACTGAAGATAAGGTTTAGATCAGAGCCATGTTTTTTTCTCAACAAATATGCTGCAATGCTGTTTCTTATTTAGATTTTCCTTTTTCTTTGTAAATTATCCATTTATTTCGTAAGTTTTTAGATTTGTTTACATGAACAGTTTATATTTCTATGCTCTGTAGCAATACTACCCTGTTAACTACCTGCGGAATGTGGCCCTGAAGCAGGTGCGCACACCCTATGTGTTCCTATCGGACATTGACTTCCTTCCTGTACACAACCTATATGAAAACCTGAAGAGGACAGCTGCAACAATGGATTTGGCAAACACTAAAAAGGTGAAGCATCTATCTTACACATATTTTGGGACTTGATTAAGAAGCTAAAGGCTGTGGAAAATGGTACTTGATACTTTAAACCTTGTCTAGGCTGATCTCTGCAGTAACCGAGAGAAATTTGTAATTCATTAGTTTATTTCCTAAGGGTAATGTAGATAATTCAATATTTAACTGTTAAAAAGGAAAAAAGTGACCTTAATTAAACTCTGAATTAACTTGCCATACATGAAGTAATAACAAATATGAGACAGACTGAATCCAGAAAAAAACATCAACTATAGTGTTTTTTTCAACATATAATTCATCCTTTTCTGAATAAGATGAAATATTTTGTTAATCTTAAATGTCGTTTTAAAACTTTCTCTTATTGGGTAGTGTAAAATTGTATTCAGGCATTGATAGTTCCTGCTTTTGAGACACCTCGATACAGAATCGACTTCCCGAAGTCCAAGGCGGAACTCTTGTCTAGTCTTGACATGGGTGACCTATATACATTCAGGTAATCACACTCTCTGTCCAGCTTTGTGTCTGTGTGTATGTTTGTTTCAGATTCTAATAGTCTAGAAAGTTGTCTTTTTCCCAGTAGTTTACACTCCTTGTATTGTAAAGATGTATATTGCATTAATGCAGGTCCTCTAATTTTTTTTTTTTTTATTTGGTTTAAATTTTCTCTTTCGTTTTTTTCAATCTAATCTTTTTCTTTTCTAAAACTTATCAAAGGATCTCATCGTGTTACAAATTGATATAAACCCTTAGCATATTGACCCTGACAGGACCCTTACTGTTGATTAATGCAGGCCTTTATAGTCTTTGCCGAGAATTCCTACGAAACAGCATCAAACAACTTGTTTAACCATATCTTTCAGATAAAAAATGTCTCAACCATTAAAACTGTCTTTATTACTGTTAATAACCATATCACTTGATGTTACAGGTTTCATGTGTGGCCTAAAGGTCACTTCCCTACCAATTATGCCAAATGGAGAACAGCAACAACACCCTATACGGTAGGTAGACACCCTATACGGCAGGTAGACACCCTATACGGTAGGTAGACATCCTATACAGTAGATAGACATCCTATATGGTAGGTAGACTGTTTAATATAAGACACCCTATACGATAGGTTAGCACCCTATTTAGTAGGTAGACACCCTATACCGTAGGAAGACATCCTTTACGGTAGGTAGACACCCTATACGGCAGGGAGACACCCTATACGGTAGGTAGACATCCTATACAGTAGATAGACATCCTATATGGTAGGTAGACTGTTTAATATAAGACACCCTATACGATAGGTTAGCACCCTATTTAGTAGGTAGACACCCTTTACGGTAGGTAGACACCCTATACGGCAGGTAGACACCCTATACGGTAGGTAGACATCCTATACAGTAGGTAGACATTCTATATGGTAGGTAGAATCCTATATGGTAGGTAGACTGTTTAATAAAAGACCTATATACGATAGGTTAACACCCTATTTAGTAGGATGTTTGTATAGTTTAAGTTTATAAACAATAATATATTGACCTCTATATAGTTTGATTTCTGTTTGTGTTTATAGGTTAGCTGGGAGGCAGACTTCGAGCCCTATATAGAATTTAGGATAGCCTTGACCTCTATATAGTTTGATTTCTGTTTGTGTTGATAGGTTAGCTGGGAGGCAGACTTCGAGCCCTATATAGTATTTAGGACAACCTTGACCTCTATATAGTTTGATTTCTGTTTGTGTTAATAGGTTAGCTTGGCGGCAGACTTCGAGCCCTATATAGTATTTAGGATAACCTTGACCTCTATATAGTTTGATTTCTGTTTCTGTTTATAGGTTAGCTGGGAGGCCGACTTTGAGCCCTATATAGTGGTCGGTAAGGATGTACCTATGTTTGACCAGAGATTTGTCGGGTTTGGATGGAACAAAGTTTCCCACACCATGGAGCTGGACCTGCTAGGGTAAGTGTAATTAAGACTCTACTCATGTGCACCGATTATTGTCCATGCATTTAGAGAAAATGACCCTGGGATGTTAATTTAAGTGCATCAGTCTGTCTATCAGTTTCTACCAAATTTGTTCATTGATTAATATGCATACTCATTCCGATTGCTTGGTTGGTCTTTGTGCTATAACTCCCGTATAAACGGATAAACTTTTACCAAATTCTGTGTGCAGATGTAGTTTAATTGGTGTCATAAAATTCCTATGGCTGAGCTGCCAGTCTCAACAACTCATGCATATTTAATAAGTATCTTCACAATTTCACTAGAAAGTCGAAGATTTTTCTGGCACATCTGCTTAGGATTTTTTACCATAATGAACAGCTGTGTTCACCAAACTATACATCAAGGAAATACAGAACTTGATGCTTTCCCCTTCCTATTCTCCACCTTGTTTGTTAACAGAGATGTGTTCTGTAGATCTTCATTGAAAGTCCTCCATCTCGACAATCCAGTAAATGCATAAAATATAGCTACAGGATGTTTGGTAGTGTGCGACACAATTCTAATATTTTCAAACTATTTTGTCTCGCCGCCACGAAGTGGAAGCAGAACTTAGGTGTTGCTTTTGCGTTTAAGTTAGTTTCACAGAAAGTATAAGTGCTAGACCAACCAAACCTAGACCATAGATGCATCTTAGCAATTAGGTAGTACATCTCAACCCAAGCATCAAATGCTGGATGCTGCCTACCTTTCATGGTCCATTGACTTTGTCATCATCTCCATCAACATTAAGTTTTTGCGTTTAAGTTAGTTTCTCGGATATGTTCATTGATGTTCAAAGCAGGGCATAGGCGAGACATATCAATCGGAATTGCTTGTTTTAATTAAAATTGAATTTGCTGTATTTTCCAATATCTATACTGAACAAAAAAGAAACGCACAAAGTTCCCCCCTGCAGTACACCTTAGCTGTAAAGAAATAATGGAATATTTGGTCAGGTATGACATCAAGAACTATCTCCCTTCTCAACAATCTACCCTGAAATCAGCCATGTGTGACGATGTCATTGTGTGACTTTGTGAGCTTCTTTAGTCCAAATCACGTGGCGTGATCAAGCCAAGCCGGAGTTTTTCAAACAAATAATCTCAACGGATACTCTAAGTTCAGCCACATTAATTTTCCACGTTGGCTTTTTGATTTCGCCATTGACTGAGATGCCATGCTTAACGCAAATACAGAGGGGTAGAGCAATTGCGATGTTGATGGATGGTCATAGCCAAATTGCTGTCCCACGGCAGTTTGGTGTTGGCCTGTGTATAATTAACTGTCTCTGTACACGTTTCCGTGCTACTGGGTTAGTTTCCGATCGTCCCAGGAGCGGTCGTCCGCGTGTAACGACCGCACGACAAGACAGGGCGATTCGATTGTCGCACTTGCGTAACAGATTCAAGACTGCTGTAGAGACTGCGTCGCATAACTTAGGTACTCATGGCAGACCCATAAGTCCTCAAACTGCCAGGAACCGCTTGCGTGCCGAGAGAATCATTGCGCGCCGACCTTATGTCGGGGCACCTCTGACACCACGGAGGCGGCAAGTGCGTCTTGACTGGATGCCGGACCTGGCCCCAAAAGGTTTGGGATGCGTCGATGGAGGCGTGTGATGTTCACCAACGAGTCTAGATTTTGTCTGTATTGCTCAGACGGAAGAAAAAGGGTATATCGCAGACGCAGTGAGCGTTTCGCCGACGCATGCGTGGTTGAACGCAATAGATTCGGTGGGGCTTCTGTAATGGTTTGGGGAGGCATCTTCCATGGAGTAAAATCCCCCTTAGTGGTCCTGGATCAAAACCTCAATGCCGTTCGATACAGAGACCAGATCCTCCAACCACATGTCCTTCCACTTCTCAGACGTCATAACCTAATTTTCCAGCAAGACAATGCTCCACCGCATGTTACCAGCGTCTGTCGTGATTTTCTCACGGCAAACAATGTTCAGCCTCTGGAATGGCCCCCATATAGCCCCGACATGTCTCCCGTTGAGCATCTGTGGGATGAGCTGGACAGGCATATTAGGAAACGTCAAAACCCCCCCAACTAACCGCGCCCATGCCAGTTGATCGCAGCATTAACACAAGAATGGAACAACATTTCCTGAAGGCGAATAAATGTTATCATGAATTCAATGCATATGAGAATCCGAGGAGGGATTCGTGCAAAAGGTGCCCACACCAGGTACTGAAGTGTCATTTTGTTTTTCGCAGGTATCCCACTTTGAGTAACTACTGATGACATGAGTGACGTAACACAGACTTCTTCTACAGTATTGTAAAGAGTAGACTTGTCCCTTCATATTGATATAAAAATTGTGTGTTTCTTTTTTTGTTCAATATAGATCTCAATGTTAAGGATGAATTGAGATACTTTTTTGTTAGATAAGATAAATTAGTTAATATCTGTCCAGAAAAAAAGAGAATTCTTTAAAGATTTAGCTTCTTCAACACAACTTGGACAAAATTGTCTGTTGTGGGTATGGCAGCTATCATTGTCAATTATAGGGTGGCTATTATTATTGTCCATTCAAATTATAACATTTATCATTGTCTATTTTAGGTACGAGTTTGTTGTGCTGCCCAATGCCTTCATCATACACATGCCCCATGCCCCAAGTTTTGACATTGCCAAATTTAGGTCCAGCTCTTTATACAGACAGTAAGTGGACACATAATCTAATACTGTTTCACAGAGACATTTATTCATTAACAGGAATTTGAGTATTTTTTACAATCTTTCAATGATGCCTATCTGGTATATGTTTCTATTTATAACTGTAAAACAGTATTATGATATTAGAAATGGTCAAATTATAGTCTTTCATACAAAATGGCTTTATATCATGGAATTGTCTTTTCAAAATAGTAACAATGGTTTTGTATCACAAACAGTTAACAGGTTTTTTTTACATTTCACTTTGCATTTTTTGGTAAGTACAATTATTTTTTGGTAAGTACAATTATTTTTTGGTAAGTACAATCATTTTTTGGTAAGTACAATTATTTTTTGGTAAGTACAATCATTTTTTGGTAAGTACAATTATTTTTTGGTAAGTACAATTAAAAAGTCTCATTGAATACCCTAAATTTATAGCCTTCTTTGAAACTATAAATGCTAATCTGTATCACTTTTCATATGCTACAGTTGTCTGAAGGTCCTGAAGAGAGAGTTTCACAGAGATTTGTCACGCAAGCATGGCCTTAAGGCCCTGAAATACCTAACAGCAGACTGAAGACACGAGTCAACAAGTCTTGGCCAATATCTCGGACTATCTTCTCGGCATGTTCTCAAGATGTCTACAGCATCATTCCAATTAACGATGGCATACTCATTTACGACTGGAATATTAACCAGATATCTGGGGATATATGGGTGCAGCTGTGTGCCAGATAGCTGGGGGTATGGTTTCAGCTGTGTGCCAGATAGCTGGGGGTATGATTTCAGCTGTGTGCCAGATAGCTGGGGGTATGATTTCAGCTGTGTGCCAGATAGCTGGGGGTATGATTTCAGCTGTGTGCCAGATAGCTGGGGGTATGATTTCAGCTGTGTGCCAGATAGCTGGGGGTATGATTTCAGCTGTGTGCCAGATAGCTGGGGGTATGATTTCAGCTGTGTGCCAGATAGCTGGGGGTATGATTTCAGCTGTGTGCCAGATAGCTGGGGGTATGATTTCAGCTGTGTGCCAGATAGCTGGGGGTATGATTTCAGCTGTGTGCCAGATAGCTGGGGGTATGATTTCAGCTGTGTGCCAGATAGCTGGGGGTATGATTTCAGCTGTGTGCCAGATAGCTGGGGGTATGATTTCAGCTGTGTGCCAGATAGCTGGGGGTATGATTTCAGCTGTGTGCCAGATAGCTGGGGGTATGATTTCAGCTGTGTGCCAGATAGCTGGGGGTATGATTTCAGCTGTGTGCCAGATAGCTGGGGGTATGATTTCAGCTGTGTGCCAGATAGCTGGGGGTATGATTTCAGCTGTGTGCCAGATAGCTGGGGGTATGATTTCAGCTGTGTGCCAGATAGCTGGGGGTATGATTTCAGCTGTGTGCCAGATAGCTGGGGGTATGATTTCAGCTGTGTGCCAGATAGCTGGGGGTATGATTTCAGCTGTGTGCCAGATAGCTGGGGGTATGATTTCAGCTGTGTGCCAGATAGCTGGGGGTATGATTTCAGCTGTGTGCCAGATAGCTGGGGGTATGATTTCAGCTGTGTGCCAGATAGCTGGGGGTATGATTTCAGCTGTGTGCCAGATAGCTGGGGGTATGATTTCAGCTGTGTGCCAGATAGCTGGGGGTATGATTTCAGCTGTGTGCCAGATAGCTGGGGGTATGATTTCAGCTGTGTGCCAGATAGCTGGGGGTATGATTTCAGCTGTGTGCCAGATAGCTGGGGGTATGATTTCAGCTGTGTGCCAGATAGCTGGGGGTATGATTTCAGCTGTGTGCCAGATAGCTGGGGGTATGATTTCAGCTGTGTGCCAGATAGCTGGGGGTATGATTTCAGCTGTGTGCCAGATAGCTGGGGGTATGATTTCAGCTGTGTGCCAGATAGCTGGGGGTATGGTTTCAGCTGTGTGCCAGATAGCTGGGGGTATGGTTTCAGCTGTGTGCCAGATAGCTGTCAGTTGTTTTCCAGGTATAAGAGGATATCCTTTAGCTTTAAGGAATATGTGTTATCATTGCAGCAAAACCATAACCACTGATATTTTGTTAGGTACCCTACATGAAAACCCCCCAGAGCAAAACGTAGTAGGTAAAACAGGTGCTATAATTCACATGGTTTTTATGGAGATGTCACATGGTTATTATCCAGATGTCACATGATAGGTATCTGGATGTCACATAATTAGTATCTGGATATCATGTGATTAGTATCTGGATGTCACATGGTTATTGTCCAGATGTCACATGACTAGTATCTGGATGTCACATAATTAGTATCTGGATGTCACATGATTAGTATCTGGATGTCATATGGTTATTATCTGGATGTCACATGGTTATGATCCAGATGTCACATGGTTATTATCCAGATGTCACATGCTTATTGTCCAGATGTCACATGATTAGTATCTGAATGTCACATGGTTTTTATCCAGAGGTCACATGGTTATTATCCAGATGTCACATGCTTATTGTCCAGATGTCACATGGTTGTTATCTGGATGTCACATGATTAGTATCTGGATGTCACATGGTTTTTATCCAGAGGTCACATGGTTATTATCCAGATGTCACATGCTTATTGTCCAGATGTCACATGATTAGTGTCTGGATGTCACATGATTAGTATCTGGATGTCACATGGTTGTTATCTGGATGTCACATGGTTGTTATCTGGATGTCACATGGTTGTTATCTGGTTGATATCTGGATGTCACATGGTTGATATCTGGATGTCACATGGTTATTATCTGGATGTCATTGGTTGTTACCTGGATTTCGCATGATTGTCACATGAATGTTATTGACATGCAATAACTATTATTTGGATGATGCATGGTTACTATCGGGATGTCCAATGGCTATTAGTTGTTTTCTAGGTGTCACATAATTGTTTTCAAAATCACATGTTAACTCCATGTCACATGGTTGTGATACAGATATTATTGTGGATTGATATGTCGATATCAAATGGATCTAAATGACACATTGATGTTTTATAGATACATTTGGTAAATAATATTCTCATTCATCATTCATTATGTATCTGCTTTCCAAATTTAAGTTGCCATAATGTGTTTCAAATTATCAAGATAATTCAATGTCAAAATTGAGATTAGCTTACATTCACAATTTTATTTGTTTTATTAATTGAAATAGCTTCAGTATTGATTTCAAAAATGTCCAGCTTTGATAGTTGGATTGGGATGTTGCTATATCAGTTATTATTATGTTGATTCCATCTCACTAATTACCCCCATAGGGATTCACATTCTCCTCTACTTATCATCTCACTAATTACCCCCATAGGGATTCACATTCTTCTCTACTTATCATCTCACTAATTGCCCCCATAGGGATTCACATTCTTCTCTACTTATCATCTCGCTAATTACCCCCATAGGGATTCACATGCTCCTCTACTTATCATCTCACTAATTGCCCCCATAGGGATTCACATTCTTCTCTACTTATCATCTCGCTAATTACCCCCATAGGGATTCACATGCTCCTCTACTTATCATCTCACTAATTACCCCCATAGGGATTCACATTCTTCTCTACTTATCATCTCAAGTTCACACATTGTCATGCAAATGAAGGCATTGAGAAGAGAGAAATACAAACTTACAGATCTGTTGTAAATGTATTGAAGGAGGTTTGACTTAGACTGGTAACTTCTTACTTCCTCCTGCATTGTAAGCTCAAAGTGAGATTACAATAGTTCTATATAAACATACAGTCAATTGTTTTGTGGGGATAAAACAGAGATTACCTAAGAGAGACGACTGTTTATTAAGGAATGCTCTCTAAAGCAGATTTGACTGTATGATATATGTTTATTGATAATTGAATTGAATTCCAAAAAGTTAATGTTCAGCTGATCTGTTCATAGGTCAGAGAGCTTATGTTGTACCCTCGGATTGAGTTTGAGTGAGGGTTCAGGATAGGTTTTTCTGTAGGACATTGGGGTTCATTGTGTGGGTTTGGGGGATGCCTTACCTTGATGAAGTGAAGCCAAAATTGACAATATTATTGTGATTACTTGGTAAATGATGTTTTTGTCTTTTTTCCCCCCATTTTGTTTGTACTGAATTTTTCAACCTAAATCACTAGATTAAATTTCTTGGTGTAAGTTATGTGAATGTGTTTCATTGATTTAACACATGTTTACTGGCATACTGATATTTAACATCGAGTGTCTAGCATTACTGCAGTGAAGTCAGTACTGATGATGTTTGACCCGTCAGTGTCTACGAGGTCCAATGGGGGTCAAATAGAAGTGAGAGTCATTTTGTGACGAAGGAATAATGTATAAACAGGTGTGTGCTAGGTGGCGTTGACACCATTGCTGGTATAGTTTATATTTTCTGACCGTTTTAGATATTACTTTTACAGGATGTACCTGTATGTTATTACTGTAGTAGGATTTACAGGTGTGTCATTTACAGGATGTACCTGTATGTTATTACTGTAGTAGGATTTGCAGGTGTGTCATTTACAGGATGTACCTGTATGTTATAACTGTAGTAGGATTTACAGGTGTGTCATTTACTGGATGTACCTGTATGTTATTACTGTAGTAGGATTTACAGGTGTGTCATTTACGACACACGTGCAGTAAGAGCTTTAAATAACGTTGTATACATTACAGCTAATTCATATGCATTTGACAAGATTACATATTTGTTGTGACATAATATTTCAAAAGTAGTGTTTGATAGTTTAATTTATAGCTGTGTATTTTTATATGAATGTGTATTATAAAACATGCTGATTCTTGTTTTTGCTGTGTTTGTCTACCCATTTTTTTTTTTACCGCCATTGACAGATACGAAATGTCAGAGGTCACAGATCACTGCCAAATAAAGTACAAAGCTGCCTCAAGCGGTAACCGTAACATATTACTTCTCTACAAAGACAATCACGGATTACACATGTCAAAGTTGTTTTAAAAAAGAGTTGTTTCAAGTTCTGTATGATCATGAAATTGTCAATTGTAATGATGATTAATATTTTTTTTGAGATGGTAGAAAATCTTGACAGAACTGGCTACCAAAACTGCATGTTGATATGATCCTACTATATTATCATAATTCATCATTTGCTCCTGACAGTTATTCAATGTTTTATTGGGATTTGTGCATGTGTGTTTATGATGGGTGACCTGAATGCTTTTCCCCAGCAATGGAGGATGATGATGGACGGAGAGGGGGTAACCGGTGTATGTTTTCAGCATGAGATATACATTATAATCCATGATCAGTTGTTCAGAGAACATAAAATTCAAGTTCAGTGAAGTGTAAGTTTGTATTGACGTAAGAGAAGTAAGTTCATGATCATTGGGAGAACTTGTATAGTGTGAGTGTGTATTGAAGTAAGTTCATTGGGAGAACTTGTGTAGTGTGAGTGTGTATTGAAGTAAGTTCATTGGGAGAACTTGTATAGTGTGAGTGTGTATTGACGTAAGAGTGTAAGTTCATTGGGAGAACTTGTATAGTGTGAGTGTGGATTGACGTAAGAGAATAAGTTCATTGGGAGAACTTGTATAGTGTGAGTGTGTATTGAAGTAAGAGTGTAAGTTCATTGGGAGAACTTGTATAGTGAGTGTGTATTGACGAAAGAGTATAAGTTCATTGGGAGAACTTGTATAGTGTGAGTGTGTATTGACGTAAGAGTGTAAGTTCATTGGGAGAACTTGTATAGTGAGTGAGTATTGACTTAAGAGAATAAGTTCATTGGGAGAACTTGTATAGTGTGAGTGTGTATTGACGTAAGAGTATAATTTCATTGGGAGAACTTGTATAGTGTGAGTGTGTATTGAAGTAAGAGTGTAAGTTCATTGGGAGAACTTGTATAGTGCGTGAGTATTGAGATAAAAGAACAAGTTCATTGGGAGAACTTGTATAGTGTGAGTGTGTATTGAAGTAAGAGTGTAAGTTCATTGGGGGAACTTGTATAGTGAGTGTGTATTGACGAAAGAGTAGAAGTTCATTGGGAGACCTTGTATAGTGTGAGTGTGTATTGACGTAAGAGTGTAAGTTCATTGGGAGAACTTGCATAGTGAGGGTGTATTGACGTAAGAGTAGAAGTTCATTGGGAGAACTAGTATAGTGTGAGTGTGTATTGACGTAAGAGTGCAAGTTCATTGGGAGAACTTGTATAGTGAGTGGGTGTTGACTTAAGAGAATAAGTTCATTGGGAGAACTTTTATAGTGGGAGTGTGTATTGACGTAAGAGTATAATTTCATTGGGAGAACTTGTACAGTGTGAGTGTGTATTGACGTAAGAGTGTAAGTGCAATGGGAGAACTTGTATAGTGAGTGTGTATTGACGTAAGAGTAGAAGTTCATTGGGAGAACTAGTATAGTGTGGGTGTGTATTGACGTAAGAGTATAATTTCATTGGGAGAACTTGTATAGTGTGAGTGTGTATTGAAGTAAGAGTGTAAGTTCATTGGGGGAACTTGTATAGTGAGTGTGTATTGACGAAAGAGTAGAAGTTCATTGGGAGACCTTGTATAGTGTGAGTGTGTATTGACGTAAGAGGGTAAGTTCATTGGGAGAACTTGTATAGTGAGTGGGTGTTGACTTAAGAGAATAAGTTCATTGGGAGAACTTTTATAGTGGGAGTGTGTATTGACGTAAGAGTATAATTTCATTGGGAGAACTTGTACAGTGTGAGTGTTTATTGACGTAAGAGTGTAAGTTCAATGGGAGCACTTGTATAGTGAGTGTGTATTGACGTAAGAGTAGAAGTTCATTGGGAGAACTAGTATAGTGTGAGTGTGTATTGACGTAAGAGTATAATTTAATTGAGAGAACTTGTATAGTGTGAGTGTGTATTGACGTAAGAGAATAAGTTCATTGGGAGAACTTGTACAGTGTGAGTGTGTATTGAAGTAAGAGTATAAGTTCATTGTAGTATGGAAGTTTGTATAACAAAACAAATCCTTATACATGTGTATATGTAGTACAGTTTCACGCTACTCTCTTTATGATAACAATAACTAGCTAGAAAGCTGCTAGTGTCTAGTATAGGTTAAATCCCTGATATTCCTAGGATACGTTTGGGTATTCATCCCCTGCACATTGTACCAATATTGTTCTTGTAAGGGAAACATTGAGTGCAAATATTGTAAATTTTGATGTAAATAGAAAAAAAGCAATTACTAATAGTACAATTTCCTCTCGTAATAAACACCTCATTGCCTGTCGTCTTACAGTGAGGTGACACTATTGATTTGTCTCAACTACCTACCTTTAAGCATTCTAGTTCAGTGATTGGCTGTAAATTATAACCTCATAAGAACTTGATGTCGTCAATGTTTAACATATACTTGCCAATTTTTAATTTAAGAGTAAATAGTTTTCAGAACTCTTTTCTGTAAGATCCAATTATTTTCATTAATTTCATATGTCCCCATTAAGGTGAAAGACAGGAGTGATGGAGTCATTCTTAATATATCTGTCGTTATACGTTTATAAATTATTTATATAATGAATAAAACAATTCAAATGAAAAAGAACTTCGCAGCATTGTGTTTATTTACTGCAGTAGAATCCGTCATATTGTATTGTGCATGTTTGTAAGAGAGACAACGGGCACCTGATAATTCGTTAGTTATATTTGGACCTAAACTAAGAAGTTCAGATTAATTGGACACTTTTAAGGCCTTAGATCAACTTTCGGTAAAAATAACACCCCAGTGATGATCGTGTAAAACACTCTGAACACCTTAGTTTAGGTCCACATATAGCTGTAACAAATTATCAGGTCCCTTGTTTGAGAGTGACATGTCAGTATTTCTCATTTTTAGCGCATCTGCCACAATAAGGTAAGGCAATTAAAGGATGGAACTGTACGATAGTAACTATTCCAACCAGGAGGACATTTCTACTGTTATGCTAGCTCGTGATTCCTGTTATCTTATAGAAGGAATGCAGAATCTTAACAGTTGCCAGACTCTCGTATCACCCTCAAAGTGGCGCATCCTATCATACATTGTATTCCAATGCTGTAGGGAAGACACGTTATCGTGAGATACTGAAGACGGTCCTTCAGAGTTTGTTGGAATTCCACATGTTCCGTAATTGTAATCAAATAGTTGTTTTGAAATCGTCAAACCCCCCAGGTTATCAACGGAGTGTATTCGAGTAATTATTTAGGCCTTTATCTTTTTATTGAACCTGGTCTGTTTAAGATCGACTTTGCGGCTTAGCGTGAATTGTACCTTGTGTGTATATTGACATCTTGAATGCTTGTAAATTGAAACACATACGATGAACACAAAAGTTACATTTTTTTATTGATTTCATATCTTGATACCTATATGATACGTATGATTGCAATCACCAATGTTTTTGTAATATGTTTTCATCATTGAGATCAATGAATATCTTCATTACGTATTACAATGACTGGATCAAACAATGGACGATTGTCTGTGAAAGGTTCACTGCATTACAGTTAGATATCGGTTACCAACATATTAACATCTGTTTAATATCAATCTTCTGTTTGTACCATAGAAACATGTTTGTAAAGATTCATACTATCCTTAAATCTACAGCGATATCTCTGACAGAATCAATGGGAAAGGGATCGATACATTTTGAAGTCATCTCCATAAGCTTATAACTGTCTTTATGTAGGCGTAGATGTACCGTTAATACAGAATCTGCTCCGTGGACCAGAACCTGCATGTCGGAGTCGCCACATCCTCGACTTTCTAGGTGTTGTGCTCACTTTCGTTCTCTGTAATCGAAGGCATGCTGTTAGCTACAACCATTCCGGATTGATCCTTTCTTCGAACGGTACATCCTTGCAACATTTCTTTGAAGTTCGGGATGCTATCGACGTGTTTGTGTACGTGACAAAAGCCTTTTCCCCTCAGGTACAGCAGTGGACCTGACCCAATGTGTATACATTGTGTAGTTTGGACCAAATGCACAATACTATGCATAAAAAGCACTACGTATAACGTTTTTCAATTCACCGACAATCTGTCCCTGTCGTGACGAACCGATTAGTCGACACGACTGACTGTGTCAATGATCAAAGAAAATAGTAAAATTAGCCTCAACCCTAAAATACGTAGTGCATTTCGTCCAAACCACACACTGTATACACATCGGGTCAGGTCCACTGCTGTACCTGAGGGGAAACGGCTTTTGTCACGTTCACAAACACGTCGGTAGCATCCCGAACTTCAAAGAAATGTTGCAAAGATTTACCGTTCAGAGTTTGGATACGATTATAATCAGTTCACTTTCACCCAGGCACCCGTCCTCATGTGACCCTGGCTAGGCACCGGCCTCATATGACCCTGGCTGTTGTGTCTCCACAGACACCCGCCGTCATGGGACCCTGGCTGTTGTGTCTCAACAGACACCCGCCCTCATGTGACACTGGCTGTTGTGTCTCCCCAGGCACCGGCCTCATATGAGCCTGGCTGTTGTGTCTCTACAGGCACCGGCCTCATATGACCCCGGCTTTCGTGTCTCCACAGGCACCGGCCTAATATGACCCTGGCAGGTGTGTCTCCTCAGGCACCCGTCCACATATGACCCTGGCTGTTGTGTCTCCACAGACACCCGCCCTCATGTGACCCTGGCTGTTGTGTCTCCACAGGCACATGCCTAATATGACCCTGGCTGTTGTGTCTCCTCAGGCACCCGTCCACATATGACCCTGGCTGTTGTGTCTCCACAGGCACCGGCCTCATATGACCCTGGCTGTTGTGTCTCCACAGACCCCCGTCCACATATGATCCTGGCTGTTGTGTCTCCACAGACACCCGTCTACCTATGATCCTGGCTGTTGTGTCTCTACAGGCACCGGCCTCATATGACCCTGGCTGTTGTGTCTACACAGGCACCCGTCCACATATGACCCTGGCTGTTGTGTCTCCACAGGCACCGGCCTCATATGACATTGGCTGTTGTGTCTACACAGGCACTCGTCCACATATGACCCTGGCTGTTGTGTCTCCCCAGACACCCGTCCACATATGATCCTGGCTGTTGTGTCTCCACAGACACCCGTCCACATATGATCCTGGCTGTTGTGTCTCCACAGACACCCGTCCTCATATGTCCCTGGCTGTTGTGTCTCCCCAGACACCCGTCCACATATGACCCTGGCTGTTGTGTGTCCCCAGACACCCGTCCTCATATGATCCTGGCTGTTGTGTCTCCACAGACACCCGTCTACCTATGATCCTGGCTGTTGTGTCTCCCCAGAATTTCGTCCTCATATGATCCTGGCTGTTGTGTCTTCCCAGACACCCGTCCTCATATGACCTTGGCTGTTGTGTCTCCCCAGACACCCGTCCACATATGACCCTGTCTGTTGAGGTGATTTGTGAAAGTATACAGAGATGGAGAATTTCTTATATTATTAGGTATGGCATTCCATTCCCTTATGGCAGTGGGTACGAAGTCATATACATCTTAGTTCTACTTGATGGTGGATGTATATATAAATTGGTTCTTAAGTTATGACCTTGGACAGCTCCTGTCACAGGAAGAAGCGAATTCTCCAAATATAATGGTGCAGCACCATGATATATTTTGTACAAAGTTTCCATCCTATATGCGACACTGTTTCCCAACCTGTTTCTAATATAATTGAGTTGGACAATGCAGATTTTGTTTCTCCGGTCACAATAAATTGACATTACACCATATCCTGTAAAAGTGGCAATTTTTCGCGGTGTGGAACTATTGGCGTTTTTCTCATTGAGTAAATTAGCGCGTAAAATATCCACACGGGAATACTAATTTGTAGAAATAGAATACATAGATTTAAGAACTATAGCCAACGCGAAAATTTCCACATCGCGATCAGTTTAAATGGTGACAACGCGAACATTTCCACTTTACAGTGTTACGTATACGATTTCAATTACTTTATGGTCTTGTAAAGTGTTAAACGGACATTAAATTTCTAACAGAGTTTAACTTAGTAATTCATTTGGTACTTTTCCCTAGCTGTAGAACAAAGAACAGTGTCAGCTCAATTAGGCTAGTAAATATAATTTGGTTTATTGTATCCCGACCGACCTTGATTTTTTATCAGTTCTCGCGAAGTTGAAACCAATGAGGTGAAAAACAAGATTGTAAAAATGACACTAAAAACAAGTGGTAAAACCCTTATCTTTATAACCATACCGCAATATTACGTAGGCTGCACCAGCTAAGCTACCTACAATCACTGGTCTGCTGTAGTTATTGAGGGTGTAGTGGTTATCGCTCTGTCGGCACCATAATAGGGTACTTTCGCGTGTGGTTTCAGCATGGTTTTAGATTTTATATCATCGTTTTGATTTATAAAACAGGAAGTTATCAATATAAAAATCAATGCTAGTTGTGTCTTTATTTACATTGAAATAGGTAATAAAATGCTGAAGTGTACCGCCATTTTGGGCTGTCATAAATCGAAAGGCAAGCACATTGAGAAACCAGATTTTGAGCTTGGCGACTTTCACGCAGACTATCCACATGGTAAGTAGTGCACGTTGATACTCTTATTGTGCCCTATATCAAAATTATTAGATTACACCCACACGATGTTATTTTTGGTAAAAAAAGCTACAATATATATATCTCGCTTTGTTGGCATCATATTTGAGCTTTATTTATTTAGAGGAAACAACAGGATAAATGCATCACTGTCCAATACATAAGAATATCAAGCAGAAACTCGAAATATACGCATGCCTTATGTTCTAGAACATATGAAGGTTATGGGTAGAGAAATCGAAAAGCATCCACATATTTTACCATTTTTTTTTTTTTTTTTTTTTTAAGTCTTTTATTCTTTCGCTCTCTTTTCTTTGAACTTACGACTTAATTGTTATTCGGGATCAAAAAGGGGTAAAACAGCATAATGTATCAAACTTTTAGAAGAGTGACCTGCCTACCCCTGTGATATCAACTATATAAGCGAGGCGTCAAGAAACGGATTGTGAAAAAACCGGATGTCTCAGCACAACGAGATGGCGGAGGGATTCACCGTAAGCTTGACCGGTAAGTAACAAAAGACACAAAATAAAACAGCATTATTAAAATTTGGAAAACCAAACTGGGTGTGATATGTAAGTATAATAGTGATGAATATTATACCTTCCAAAACCGAAATAGCTTTCCTTACTCCCGGTACATTGGATAAACCCGCTAGGAGTTGGTAGACATTTTTGGTTACCCACTAATGTGTTACACCCTGGGAAATATTTCATTCGTCAATCTTTTAATTATGACTTAATAACGATGCTTTGCGACGTCATCTTCCATTGTACAGTCATAGTTCATGGCAGCTTTCCTCAAATCGGAAACAGGAAAATTTATTACCAGGAGGAACAGGTGGTTTTCTAGCTATACTATCTGAACGTTGTGGGAGAATATAGTCCCCAAACTCGCGATGATTGATTATCATGTTTATCTAACTCTGTTCAGATAATGTTCAAATTGTAAAAGACATTCAGTAACCCTCATACCTTTATATGATTTGAAAATTAACTCAGAAAAGCATGAAAACAAACCAATCATCACTCGTTGGGGAAACTCGATTTATTCTTGAGATTAGGAGAAATAACCGGGAAACCTACTTGACAAATTGTGGTCGAATTGGCGAACATCGGAAGTTACTTTGCGGATACAATTTCGTCAATATATTTTTTCACCAAAACCTCGTCTCTCAAAAGCCTATACACTAAAAAGGAAAATAAACTGTTAATGAAAACATAAATAGTATATTAAGTGAAAAGTACAAAGCTAGAACAGTTAAAACGGTTCGTAGATAGGTAGAAGATTATGATGTCTTTGCAGGGTAACGGTCGTACCTTAGGACGCTACGGGTCAGTTATTTCTCACAACCAACCTGCATAAGTAAACAAAGTAAAGCATGGATACGATGTCTTAAACCTAGAACTTCATTACCAAGAGGTATTGAACTGGCTGACTGGGCAGCTGTTGGTAGTATTTTGTAGTACATACATCAAACCAGAACCAGCCGTGAAGTAGAGATGGGACAGATAACGTTGTCGTTAATACCGAGAGGATAGGTGGTGTTCAGCGTCTGATCAGTGTCGTATCTTGTAGAAGATCTGCTGATCATCCCAATTTTGGCAATGGTCATTTGGAACATCCTATCCTGCATGTCGGCATCTTGAAATGTCTTTCAACTGCCAGGTCCTGACGCTTCTTCTTGATGGTTAAGAGGCATTTTGGTCTTACCTACATAACCTCTCCAGCATAATGCAATTGACACCTTGAACATGTGATTGATCAGGTATATCGCATTGGCTGATTGTGTTGATGGTGATGGTGTACGGGCAGAGTTTGTTCATCTCATTGTAATATGTCTAGTGATCAGTGACGGCACAAGGGTAGGCGTTAGTGAATGTAGCTTAAACTATCCAACATGGCTCGAATTCATGAAACCATTCTTGTGCTCAATCATGGATTTTATGCTCGTGCCTTATTTCTTATTCCCGTTATAAATCATCAAAAAATACCTTTTTTGTCAATGATTTGAAAACTATTTGAAGGGTCTAAAAGTGGAATACTGTTTGCAATATTTACTATTGACTTTTTGATCATGTCTGACATGTTATAAGCGGGAAACAAAAAAGACAGTTTGAGCACAGAATCCATGCTTGAGCATGAGAACGGTTTAATGAATATGGGCCCATATCTGTAAGTGTAATCGGTCTGCTGCAAGCAAGCTGTGGTGGTTGCGGAAAGTTGTTTCTGAGTTAACTGCTGCTTAAAAAAGACAGTGGTTCTAAAATATAGCAAATAAAGGTGGCATGTATGGCCGGGAGGTAACCACATAATGTGCTCTTTCATTTGTGGAACTGACGTAGCATTGAAGTAGAATCCCCCGCTCCAGGTTTTTCAGAGAAAGTTTCTTAGGTGTGACCTCAACTCCGAATAACGGCGTGAAAAGATGTCGTCATCCAAAACAATATTCTTATTCTCAGCGTTTGGGTATAAATAATACCACTGGTTGTGTGTGGTTAGTGATTGCTGGACAGATGGAGGTACTGTTGTTGGTAGGTTTACAAAATAGATCAGGGTCCGTATTCATGAAACCATTCTCATGCTCTAACTTGTATTTTGTGCTAAAGTCGAATTTTTTGTTCCCGTTTTAAATTTAAAAAAAAAAGTTGTTTTGCCAATGATTTGGAAAAACATTGCAGAGACTTAAAGCCGAAAACTGTGTTCAATCTTTACATTTGGCTTTATGTTCGTTTGACATGATTTAAGCAAGTTACAAGAAATCTTGTTTGAGCACAAAACCCGTGCTTGAGCATGAGAACGGTTTCATGAATACGGCCCCTGTTCCTATTTCGCCGTTCGTAAGTTTAGAGCAAGTATCCAAAAAGCGTATTTTTCTAAGTCATTCGCAAAACTAATGAACTCGTCAATGAAGTCTCGACCAGATGTCAACTTTATCTCAATGACTTAACGAATCTTAACTATCTGAGTAGAGGGGGTCAGCTGCAAGTCAATTTTATTCCAAGTGACTCATACATACTGTATATTAGCGTATAATGGTGCTGATGGCCGTTCCACGGACTTGAAAGTAGTTCTCCATAGTATATATAATTGTTAAATTAGACAACAAGCCTCAGCTGTCATGACAGTCTTAGATCACTGTAATTGTAAGTAACAGTTAAATATTTAAATAAATACCTGTCTACTCTGACTGGATTACGTACTCGCTCTTACATATGTATCCTCGTGACTATGTACATATGTATCCTCGTGACTATGTACATAGTCACGAGGATACCTATGTACATAGTCACGGGGATACCTATGTACATAGTCACGAGAATACCTATGTACAAAGTCACGAGGATACCTATGTACATAGGTATCCTCGTGACTTTGTACATAGGTATTCTCGTGACTATGTACATAGGTATCCTCCCGACTATGTACATATGTATCCTCCTGCCGATGTACATAGGTATCCTCCTGACTACGTACATAGGGATCCTCGTGACTATGTACATAGGTACCCTCTTGACTATGTACATAGGTATCCTCGTCACTATGTACATAGGTATCCTCGTGATTATGTACATATGTATCCTCGTGACTATGTACATAGTTACCCTCCTGAGTATGTACATAGGGATCCTCGTGACTATGTACATAGGTATCCTCGCGACTATGTACATATGTATCCTCCTGCCGATGTACATAGGTATCCTCCTGACTACGTACATAGGTATCCTCGTGACTATGTACATAGATATCCTCCTGACTATGTACATAGGTATCCTCCTGACTATGTACATATGTATCCTCCTGCCTATGTACATAGGTATCCTCCTGACTATGTACATAGGTATCCTCGTGAGTATGTACATAGGTACCCTCGTGACTATGTACATAGGTATCCTCGTGACTATGTACATAGGTATCCTC